GTGTGTGTGTGTGCGCGCATATGTGTTCACCTTGCGGCCGCCGGTGTACAGGTAGTTTCCGTCAGGGGAGAAGAGCAGATGGGTGAGGCCTCCGTGGTGACGGGTCGGCAGCAGAGCCAGCAGGGTGCCGTCTTGGCAGGAGTAGAGGCCAGCGCAGCGGGAGTAAGAGCCACAGGCGTAAACAGACTGGCAGGGGCTGAAGCCAAAGCAGGAGATGATGCCACTTTGGCCCTGCTTCTTCACTGCAGTGAAGACAAGAGAGTGGCATTTGGCAAAGCTTTCAGCCTTTTAAAAAGGTTCACAAGACAATCCCCAATCACTTCTACTCAAAATTGACTTTTTGGCAGCTCATACATTCCTCATTACATCTCCAAGGAGGAAAATATTTCTCCACAATACGCGCACACACACACATTAACTCACATTTGGATCATCTGTTTCTTTTTACAGTTCACTCCTTTCCCAATCATTATCTTTCTCACTCTTTAGAAGGCTTTCAGCACGTGTTTTGGCACAAAATAGCATAAGCGAGTGTTTGGCAAAGTCACATGTATGATATAACCTGGTTTTGACATTAACCATACATTTCTGCATCATTTGTGGCTATTAATTATCAAGCAGAAGTGATGGAGACAGGAAACCATTGACCAGAGCATGTTGTTTGTTGCCAACTGAAAAGTAACCCCTCATCTTCCATACCGTGCCGCTAAATAATAATAAAAAATCATGAAGGACATGAAAACACAACACTTGAGTTGAAAAAGAAAACCTATTTGTTGAAATTGTCAAGGATCATTTTGGTGCTTCAGAATACTTCAGTCTGTATATTGCAGTACAGCATTTTACAAAAACCTGCCTGCGAACTGAAACTTGTTTTGAAGCGTGTGACAGAGATTGGGAATTCATCACAGTTTACATTTATTTCCCTTTATTTTTTGCCAGAAGTACATAACAACATCTCTCCTTGCTGGTTTGCTCAAGGAGACTGGAGGAGACAGCTGTCAAACTGCAACTTTTTGAATACAAGAAATAAATGACTTCACATTATCCCTTTCACAATGTCTCTGTTTGCTTATTGTTTGCCTTGTGCGTTTGAGTTTACAAGAACATAAGCTTGTGAATGCAATTCTTTTTTTAAATTATTCTCTCTCAAGAGTTCTAAGCGTCCTTGAATACCGGAGTTTTCAAAACAGTCCCTGCTCTCAGTAATACACATTTTACGTTACTCATAAGTCATTATTTCTTAGAATTAATGCTTTTCATAACAAATAATTAAAATAAACTCCATCTTAGTGCACATGAATTTTCTACCGGTTATATAACCATTTAACATTAATACATATCAATGTGATAGCACAGAATTGATCTGTTTAAACATCTTAACTTTTGATTTAAAGAACCACAATTAACACCTTGTACTGTGAACCACACCTGATTTGTAGTTAATTAGCTAAATCACAAAAACACCCCACTATGGTGCTTTATCAAGCTGAAACTGTGTGAGAGCAGTTGATAACTGACCTATGGTGGGCCGCTCCTCACAGTCTCTTCCAGGACGCTCAGTATAGAAGACCCTGACAGTTTTATCAAAGCCGCAGTAGAGCTGCGTTCCATCGGGCGAGAAGCAGAGGGAGTGGGCTGCCGTCAGCTCATCCAGGTGATTGTAGGGTCGGAAACTGGCTCGCACCTCCCCGTAAAATGCATCCCACACGTGGATGGGGTTGTCACGGCTACTGCTGGCTAGACTGTGGAGGCAAGGGGAGTGAGAGGCCAGACAAAAAGAGTGGCAAAGAATGGAAGAGAGTGAGTTATTAAGACATGCAGAAAAAAGACTGAGAGACAACAGGGAATACAGAGTGAATGATGCAGATTATGGGACAAGGGTGAATAAATGCTGAGAATACTTAATGGAGTCAATCTTTATTGTCCCTGAAGGGATTTTTTTTTTTATAGCTAGCAATTAAGAAATGACTCAGTTTTGAATTTCAACACATAAGAACATAGCGTGCACTGAATGACAGTGTGACAATGAGTATTTTTCAATCAAAAGTCAAACAAAGTGAATAGTGGAATAAAATAGAGTTGGAACCGCATGTCAGAGGATGGGAAATAAATTAAACTGCTGCTGAGATTCTTCTGAAATACACATTGTGCATGACCAAAAACCTGTTAATTAATTTTCTTGTTTCTAACCTCTACTGCACTCCATCCACCTTAGTGTATCAATGCATCAAAACAAATACACAGCATTGTTCTATGCCTCATTACAGAGACAAGACCACAGCACATTCTTATTGATTCAAATCATGGCCAAAGACTGAGCCATGCCTTTTTAACTCTAATTACTGGGCGCTGAACAAATGCCGAAACATCACTGCGGCTCAATTAGACAAAGGAAATTAGCCCCTACCGCTGCTGCCGTGTTCTGTTACGGCCCCTCTGAGCCGCAGCTTTATTCCAGAGCAGGGAAATGCCCAATTATAATGCTAGACTGCTGCTAGCTTGGAGCAATGCCTAGAACTCAGTGCAACTTAACCGAGCCATAACAGGGGCCCTTATTCCCTCTCTACAGGAGGGGCATCAACAACACGCGGCTTTTGGCAGACGGAGAGTTCAAGGAGCGCAGGGGGAGAGATGAGAAACAAAATGGGAGATGTGAAAAGACGGGGGAGAAGGTGAGACAGAAAAGGCACTAGAAAAACAGGGTTGCTGTAAATGCGTTTAATAATCACAACCATAACCTTTTATCCGGCTGCCTCAGCCCTCAAGGATTACTCTGAGCTTGTCCGACCACCTAGCTGTGCCCTGCAGGAGCTCCTCTCTGATATGTGACAGTGATATGAAGATGAAGCATATCTCCTACTGGCATCCTCATCCTCCTGACAGACAGGTCTTTGCACGGCTTTGGCAGATACACACAGGCCTCTCAAGTGGTGCATTGTCCACATGAGTCATTGGTTGATCATTGTGCTGTTTACACAACTCTCATCTTTGGACATGCAGCTCCTGACCCACCTCCACCCCCTCCTCTGACACAGTAAAGGCTGCCTGGTGTTGAGGTGGAGTGGTGCCAATGCTGGGCCTTGATCAGAGAGATCTGTCCGAGGGTGGAGGCTGTAACTGGAGGATGATAGGAGCTGGGGGAGGAGGTGTATGCGCAGTGAAAACAGTTGGCAACTTGACCTCAGCTCGTTAGTGCAGGCCTACCCTCTCTCAGACGATACGCGTTCTCCTCGGTGACGGCTGGGTCTTACCGATGTTGGCTCCTCTTCACAGCGCATGCACAAACACGCAGTGATGTCATAATTACCGCATTTCAAAAGCCTGTTAGAGCGCGCGCCGTGCACACACAGAGAACGAGATGAAAAGAGATGCCTCAAGTCAGGGAATCATGAGGCTCTTTAGGTGTTGTCTGGACTCGGGAGAGCTGTTAGTGAGCTGAATCATGCTGAAAAGCACCGTGGGCCTCAAACAGCCGAGCGGATTGCGATGGAGGCAGAAGCAGACAAGACGAAGGCCAACTCTTCACTCATAATGAGAGACATCACAAAGCTTTTCGAGCTTCTCTCAACGCTGGCAGACGGCTCCCACAACGAGTGCAAATACCACAGGGATCAAAGAATGAGTCACAAGCATACAACACAATCTTTTATATTCGGATAGTCGATTAGACAGGCTCAAGACCCACAGGCACACAGAAAATCTTACTCACACACTGATGATGTTGATCAAAAACAGCAATCACTGACTGACACCAGCCTCGATACAACACAGTACATTTCCTGGGTATGTATCTTCACCATCTGGCAGGTTGACCTTCAAAGTGAACTTTAAATGTCTCATCTATCCAGCTGTTAAGAGCTGAGGCTTAGGGTGGTCTGGCAAAGATCGAGTTGAACTCACAAGCATGTGTCTGGGTCCAGAGAGTTCATCTTGGGGTACCAGCAGTAGTCGTAGATGGTGTCTCCCTCTGCCATCCTCAGCACTGGACTCTGCCACAGGAAAGAAAGAAAGGAAAGGAGACAGACAGGAATATAGGGACACACAGTATTAAGAAAATGTAATGACCGTAATCTGTAATCTAGGCAGCTAGAAGACAATATCACAGGCTTTTCCATGTAGTGAAATTCAATATCAAAAGCCAGTGGCACCGTGAGAAATAGAGCAATCAAAGCTCAATTTTCTACCCTTTTCACAAACGGTCTGGGATCTCTGTAATGGGGGAAAATGGATTATATTTCAATTATTTTTGTTCAGTGATCCCAATCTACCAGCCGGTAATATAATTACGAGATTGGCTCGCCACTTGATATTTTGCAAAACCTAAATGACAAAATACCTTTTTTATTCTGTTAAATCTTCAGTAATACATGTTTTAAAGCTTAGGTTTGTTTGATTGAAACACAACATAACAACAGAAATAATGTTCAACAACAACAACATACGGACAGTCTCTGTATAAAAGGTCAGATAACATACAGCAGGTTGATGACCTTTTCTTTACTGGAAATATCTCACAATTTAGACAGGGTTTGAAAGAAATATAAAATATCACAATCATGTTATTGCCAACATGATATATGATCAAGACAAGAAATCTGTATTATCTGAAGTCAAAACCTGGATTACTTCTTACTCTTAAGATGCTATTGGTTAGCTCTAAAACTCAATTCAAATGTATCAATTACATCCAGGTCTTGAGAATGAGAATGTTTTTTCAACTGCAAAGCCATAATTAAAAAGGTATATAAAAATGATCTATTTCACAAAACTGGATCAACTTTGTAGAAGAAGCAGTTTCTGATTGGTGATTTTTTTTCATTTACTGAAACTGATCAAAATGCATATGTCGGACTCCTGACCTATAAACCTCAAAAAGGTTTTCCTGTATGTGCAAGGGCTCCAGCATTAAAGCCAAAAAGTGACCTTGACTTAGGCCTGATGGGGGCACCAGAGGAACTGTTTATACTTGCATACAAGAACATTGAGGGTTTGCGTTTTCTACTGAGCAATTCTGGTCAAGACTGACATTTTTGGTTAACTCCATCTCTCTCTAGGTGCTCCCACTAAGTATCAGTACGTAACGGTGCAAGAATTCTGAATACAAATCTTTTTTCCAAGTAATTTCACCATTTTAGCTTTCATAACACACATTTAAGGGTTTCTGTATGTACTGTATTCTGTATGCCAACATTCCCTTTTTCTATCCTCTACACAAACATGAAGGCAAGCTATCTGTGTGCTCACCATCTCAGGAAGCAAGTCCCAGTTGTAGCTGTAAATCTCTGGAGGGAGGTTGTACACACGGAGCACATTGTCTGCACTGTTGGTCAAGATACAGGAACCATCAGGAGCCCTTGTTTAGAGAAGGAGGGAGGATGAGAATAAGATGGTGGTGTATTTACAGCGTTGAACTGTGAACAAGGTATACACAGGATCGATCTATAGTTAGTACATCAGCAGTTTGGACTAGAGGTTACACTCAATTGAGATATTTATTTAGCTTGAACATAAGAGGAAGACTGCTCTTCATAGCCTCATATATACCCAGTGTATTGTCTGCACTGGTGTTCCCATCATGACAAACACAGTGGAAGTAATTTCCCCTGAAAGAATATCATTTTCTCAGTAATCTAGGACATTATCTGTCCTTGATATCTGCCTCCAGGCACTACAATGTAATGGTCTTATTTATTTATGGTAATCATAGCAATGACTCACAAACTGAATAATAATGTTAACGTTTTATACTTAGCACCTTCAAAAACCTTAACCCCATGGTGTATTATGTGTCACGTTAATTTGAAATGAGATTACCATTTGCAGCCTTTGAGGTAATTCTCTGGAAAGTTGGAGTACTCGGTCCAGGAACCAGTCAACATCTGGGGGTTCTGGGTAAAATCTAGGCCAAGGCTGGAAGCAAAATAGAGAGAAGGGCAAGTCTTGATTTAATGAGTTTAAAAGACATCGCACAACAAAGTGAAAGACAGAATCTCCTATCTTACTAATAGCGAGGGCATAAAGTTATCAGAACGAATGCAACCACAACCTTGACTTGTATGTCTCCTTTGTTTAATTAAGTTAAATAACATCTGATGAATCTCCTACCCTGGGACAAAACTGTTGCTCTATATAAATGCCAATGTCAACTGGCACAAAGAAACAGATACAACAGCGGACAGGTGTATTAATTACATTTATCACCTCTACAGGTTAATTCCATCGTTTTCATCCTGTGTCATCTTCTCCAAATTTTGCCATTGTGATAATTGATAGTGTTAAATATTTAATCAATTAATGCTGTGGTGCTTTTTGCTGCCCCACTTCAAAATGAGTGCTACTGTGAAATACATAGAGGAATTTAACACTCACAGGCAATTACATTTGTCTGAATAGCTGCAACTGGGCAATTATCCTCAACATTTACATTACAACAAGTTGCTCACAAACTTTTCTGCTTGGCTTTGCCTGTAGAAACTGAAAGCAAGGTCCGGTCGTTTTAGACTGACAGTGTTCTTTACATGCTGTAGATGTTTGCAGGCCCACAACAGCAACATTTTCCTCATGAATCTTTACTGTTTTTATTTATGACCTATTATTTTATTATCTTGTCATCTGTCTACAACCTGCTTACTTAACTGCTTTGTGGCACTTTGTGATGTGCAGTGGCATTTCTACACACATTAAATGACAGAATGGGCTGTCTTACTTATTTATATTAAAATAACATATCTAATACTTACTAATTAGACATGATAAGTGATCATGTCAAATCTAATTATGAGGTTTCATGGGTGTCACTGTGACAGTCATAGTTTGCTGTGGCCAGTTGGGTGTATACTAAAGGACAGCAGTGCTACTGCTGAATAGAAGCTACATCAGGCTGTAAAGCCTGTGTCGTGGAACGTTGTGCTTTTTATTTTACATGTGTTACATGTTAACAGGTTGGAGCAGCTACACTGCCCGTGTGACAGGATGCAGCGATGTTTCACTACAGAGCTGAGGTCTTGCCAATTTTTTCCACAAGCCGTACACAGTTCCCAGCAAAGATGTAAAAAGATGAAGTCAATCAAGTGATCTGCTCATAGTTATATTGACATTATACCAGCAACTTATACATCTTTCACAACAACTGAAGTTTCTGTATCTGTAGCATATGTCACAGACCTGGAAAAACTACAAACATATCTGTATTTCAGATTAAAAAGGTTTCTGTGAACATAATCCATTCATTTGTTAACTAGACTTATACTGTGTTGTATTTATCAGAGGAAAATTCAGTGTAGAAAGATAGGGCAGGCAGCGGCAGCAGAAACGCTCTGTGTGGACACCACAAGGGCACGAGCTACAGTCGTCACACACTGCTCACACGTGTCCAGGCTGTAAGTGGTAGAAATAAGAAAAATAAATAACAACACTAGGAATGATCTTTTAAGATGATTCACTAGTAGCAGAGATTTCATTTAAAACACAAACAGGTGGAAAAAAGAAGCCACAGGTGATTGTGCTGCTGACTGCGCCCATTCTTTCACTCTTCTTTTTCTATTTCAGAAACATGTGTTTAACACATCTTCATAATCGCTGCATAACATCTCCACCCCCCAGCTTGAAATAGCTCACTTGATGGCCCGTCTACTGTATCTTTGCCCCTAGGTATGTAGAAACAGAGGTTAAAAATAAACCTGACTTCTTCCTCCACTTACTGCTGTCCTCCACTGGGGCTTTCTGCAGATCTGTTACCGTTGAGCTCTTCCTCTGGTTTCATCTCTCCTTCTTGTAAGGGGGTACCATGCCCTCCATCTCCATTCTGGTGGCATTCTTCTTCACCTTCCCCACTGGCAGACACCTCTGCCCCTTCTCGACCCTCTTCCTCACCTTGTAGCGGTTCTGTTCCTAGCATCAAAGAGTACATTTGTGCAGGTTAATTCATTCATCTTCAAGCTAATCCTGAATCATTATCTCTGACAGAGCAAATTCTTAACTTGAAGGAATATTCCTTATATTTAATCTGATTCATGCAGTTGCAAATACTTTGTGCTGGTGGGGCTGCGTCTCCCTGCAGCGCGCCAGCCTGTGCTGGTGTTTCTTCATGCACTTTGACGGGCTTTGCAGGCTGATCCAGCCCTTGTTCCTCATTGCTTATTCTGGACCGCTTGGCAGATGGAGGTGTCCCTTCCTCTGAGGTCTCCGCCACCTCTAAACTGTCACCTTCAGGTAAAGGTGGCGCCTGTTGAGGGGGCTCATTATCGGCTTCTGCGTCCTGTCCCGCTCCTGCCACACCTCCGCCTTCACCACCTCCAGCTGAGTCAGACATCTCTCTTTGTTTATTAATCCCTTCTGTCAAGTCCTCAACCTGGCGTCCAAGTGCCTTGTGTCCGATGACTGGCTGTCAGACGTGGGTGAGGTAAGTGCTACTGGGATAGTGCTTCTTCCTGCAGTGTGGGTGTTTGAGTCTGCTGGGGGTCGAGGACATCACAGCACCCACTAGCCTGCAAAACAGTGAGGGGGCAAAGATGGAGGCAGGGGGGGTCAGGGCAGGGGAGACCAAATAAACAAGACAATGGAACACACATGCACAAATGTGAGCACTTCAAACACATCCATCATCTAAGATAAGTAAACGCGACGTTCTTTGTTGTAGGAGTAAATGACTGACGCCCTCAGACACCTGTGGCTAGTCGTGACCTGCCAACGAGTCCAAACTAGCATTCATGTTACATTAGCTACATTTACGCCGTACCAGGTACAAATTATACGACAAACCCTAGCGCGTTTTACTCCACGTGTGCTCTGCTGTCGTTCTGTATGTTGAGCAATGCTGGCAAAGAAGGCAATACGTTTGAATTTGCTTCAGCCGTCGGTCCACAGCAGAAACACAAATCACCTCACGTTAGCATTAGCCTATGCTAACAGTCTGATGCTACCTACCTGTGTTGTGGATTGCCTGGCCTTTGGTTCTGCTCGCAGTTTCCCTAGAAACACTTTCCTCCTCGACGGTGTCAAAGTTTCACCTAAAGCCGGACAGTACGAATAGCATACACAACTATTCGACGTCCTTCTACTTCGGGACTTTTTAATTCTATTCACCAGCTCATTACGAGAAGTTGTAAACACTGAGGGCGGCCATGTGTTTCCAACTATCGCGAGAGTTGCGGTGCCGCTCATGGAGAGCTCATCCTAATCACTAATCCTAATGCACATTAGCACAGTAGTGTGTTCATATCATATGATGTTCACTCCTTTATATTCATGCACTCACACATTGAGTCTGACGTTGCTAAATGCTATTTATTTAGTATTTATTTTGTTCTTCAAACAAACAAAAGCCAAACTATTTACACATCTTTCAGTTGTTCTTTTCCAAAACAGTTTCATACAAGTATGCTGTTATTTTAACAACATTCAAAGATTCATTAAGCAGAGGAGCTGAGCTGACTGGGATTTAACTTCCATTATATTGTTGGAACTACAGTTACCAGAGCAAAACATAAACCGGATGAACTACTGCATACCGTCAAGCAACATGCCATGACAGGATCTTTTCAAAGGCTGCAACCAAACATCCAGGGCTTTTTGACAACAGTTTTGCAGTTTATCTAATCATAAAAGCATGTGTAGTGCAGTAAAATAAACTGCAAACTACGTCGGTTTACTCTTTTAAGACTGACTGACTGACCGACCAACAACTAATACCACACAATATCAGCGTTTAAAAATGTCATAGATATTTTTAAAGTCATTCACAAACAAGAGACTTGATAGTATACTCATATGGTTAAAGTTGATGTTTTTGTTTTGGCAACTGATTACAACAACATTCAACTTTACCATTTAGTATTAATTCAGTATCAATTCAACACTTATGGCATACTGGAGCTTACCTCAGCTACTTCAGTTTACACAGTTAGCTATAGCAGGCAACTATCCACAAAAACCTCAGCTAAACAAAACGTACACTTGTATTACAAGTATAAGCTGATAGGATTCAATGAGTATCAGTTGCTATTTGGATTAAAAACTGCATAGTGTTTAGTTATCAAGGATACAAATAAACTACTGGTTGACTAAAAGCATTAATCTCTCAAATCCAATTAGATATACGTACATGGAACGAGACACTTTCCTAATTTTCGGCACATGGAATTTCCTTTCAAATAACACAACTGACTGGCCGATTCCTTATCTATTCAGTTCCATCGGAGATGGTCGGCAGTACCACCAGGTGCGCAGACAAAGCAGAGGCAATCTGGACCAAACTGCGACCCACCTCAAGGTTTAGTGTCAAAACCCACAAATATTACAAATCCTGCAAGCTTGCCCTAACAATCTGCTTCCAATACAAGCCTGATTTGACATCTCAAAACTGTAAAAAGTACCTAGTAGCTTCCGGAGTGTAAAAGAATTTCACAAAAAGCCCCAACTTGTGTCTTAATTTGAGGAGGACCTGTCACTGGTTTAGTTTTGCCAAGAACAGTATATCCAGCAACAGTTATGGCACAGATACAAGTCTGTGCTTCAAGCCAATCCTCTGCATCCCACCCAGTCAGCTCAGCTCCACACAGTACAGACTTCAGCCCTTTATTAAGCCTGCACCTTCAGCAATAATCTAAACAGGAAATCTGAACAAATCCACTCTTCATTTTAAGGAAACCAAAAGGGCAACAAAAGCCAACAACAGCAAAATCAGATTAATCAAAGACCGCTTGCTGCTCTATTCTGTAGCTAACTAATATTTTCATGGTGGTACATGTATCAGGTTCATACAGAACAGAATGTTGTTAGCTAACAGAAAGCTAGCTGTCTTTATGAACGCTCCTTTCTTTCTTGGACTTGAGAGGACAGTCAACAAGGTGATTTCCAACTTAAATTCATCCTTTAGAGAACATTTTCAGTTAGCCGTTGAGGACTGAACTATACAATTTAAGGCATGTTGAACAGAGAAATAAAGCAAAACCCACTATGAGAGAAAAATCAAAAAACACAAACTTTTACATTATTTACAAAGCTCAGCGTTTATAGTGATGAGCGTTGATGCTTGTGTGTGTCTGTATCCGTGTGATGTGATATTGATGCCGCCCTGGTGTGTGTGTGCAGACGTGGTTCCAGAGGAGAGCCAATGTAACTGAGCGTATGTGGCTTTTGCTGTAGGTGTGCATGTAGTGTGTCTGCAACTCCTTTGGACTCTAGAATCTATGTGACATGTAGCTACGTGTTTGTGTTTGTGTTTTGTCATGTTTCAAAGTCTTTTTTGTTTTTGTACAATTCTTTTAGTTCATCCAGTTCCACGGCTGCAGGGCTTTCTGGTGGCTTAGATGTAATCCAGCCACATCCATCGAAACCCAACCCAACTCTCAGTCTCTGACTTCTGGGCAGGAGGGCTCTTCTGTCCCGTCGGTAAGAAGACCTCCACGCAGCCACATGAGTTTCAGGCCGAGGTGGGCGGTGACATCTGGGCGATACGTACTTCTTTATCCTCTTCCTCGTCGGAGAGCGCCCGATCAAATCCCAAACCTAACACAGATGGGATTCATGGTCGATAAACTTGTAACTTCATCTGGTAACTGTCTAACTGATAATGCCAATGGCCTGCCCAGTCCGAGGTCAAGACAGAAAAGTTTCTTAGGGTTTAAGTTCAAAAAGGACAGGTTTAGGGTTAACTGGTTCATGGGTTGGCTGTAGATTAGATCCTCCTTGCAGAGGGCAGCAAATAAAGCACAGCCAGACTCCTGTGAGAAGACAGAAGAGAGCACGAGACCATCATCACCCTGCTGTCCAATACAATCCTGTAAGAAACAAGTGCCACGAGATTAACCAGGAGTAAAAGGATCAAATGAAGTCATTAGTATACAAGTGAAAAGGACAAATTAAGCTACAATATCTCACCCATGCAGAGGATTTCCCCCCTGAAGTCACTCTACAGCTCTCAAGGCATCAGGTTGGGAGATGAAGTGGAAGCATCCTTGCCAACAGCTCTTCAAACTCATGTCTGCCCCTTTACTGTGCATGTTGATCAAACACTCTTAGTGGGGCTCTTTGTAGCGACTGCGACATCCATTTTGATAAGTAACTATCAGTCAGTCTTGGAGTCACATGTCCAAAACCTCAGTCCTTGTCCATGTGGGTTTCCCTTCCATCCCCGATTATTTCAGGGTTACTGGCAAACTAAGGGAAACTCGCAGCGAGTCTATCTCAAACTATATTCAAAAAGATTGGTTTTTCTGAAGAACATTCACTCCATATGATCAATGTCTCATGAATTTTCCTTCATCCATTTCGCAAATTTTCTTTCTACTCTGAAAGGTAATACAAAAATATGGTTATATACAGGAGGTGGGAGAAGACGTGCTTCTCAAGTCTCTTGTTTCAGTTTGGGAATATCTTTTCAGCGACAGCGAATCGCAGCAATCCTCCTGTTGTAATTGTGCTCCCATCCCCAAAATGGTACCTCACAGCTTGAATGAACAAAAGTGCATAGGTGAGTTGGTGAGGGCAGGGTGTGAGTGCTTATGAGGGTTGAGGTGAAGACAAGTGCACTAACCAGGTGTACTTATATCGCCCTCTCAGTTCCCTCTGGGGTTATGCAGCCCCCTGCACTCCACAAAACAGAGCCCATCCTTGATTTTCACGCCTCTGCTCCACAGTTGAAATCTCAGGATCCACGACCACACACAAAAAGGTCCAGTTAGAGGATCTTGTCCGTGTTGTTGTGATGCCTGCAACTCTTCCTCAAACCAACACCACTCAATGTCCATATGGCAGAAGCGCACTTGCAAACCCCACCCGTCGTATGTGGGAACAAAAAAAAAAAAAAAAAAAAAAAAAAAACCCCAAAAAAAAAAAACCCCCNNAAAAAAAAAAAAAACCTCAAACAAACAAAAACAAAATATTAAAACAAAAAACTGCACCCACAGATATCCATGTGGTTTGTAAACAACCAAAACTCCAGTATGGAATAGAAAGAGTCCTTTCTTTTTAATTCTTAGTCACTACTTGTACGACCAGGATTGTAGAGGCAGTGTGTTCAACTGTATCCATTCCGAGTTTTTTTTCTTCTCCACTGTGTAAATAAAAAAGTCCTTGCTAAACTCTCTGAAGCTTTTTTGTATTTTGTTTCCATTTTTGAAATCTTCTGAGGAAAAAAAAAAAAAAATAATATCTGGTATCAGCACGGGTTTCTTGTCATTTTTTTGGAATACATTCAATATTTTCTTAAGAAAGAAATAATACACACACTTCACATGGCGATAATGAAACAAAATGAAAAACAAATTAAGGAGAAAAAAAATTAACACACAACAAAAATAGCAGCCCCAAGTGCTCATTATCTTAGTCCAAATACTTTTTAAACTTTGTATATAATGTATATATTCATATATATTTTTCATTAAAAAAGAAAACTCGTCATTATCAAATTGCAACAACGAATAAGTAACACAATATGCTAACATTTCATGCACCGTTCTGTGCACTTGCACATTAAGATGCTGTATTTTTTTTTCAGAGTCAGAAACTCGACACCTTTCATTCACAAGTTCGAGAGCTGACAAAAGGCAATGTGATCACACCCCAAGAAAACAGACTGGACTAACCTTCCAATGATCACCCCTAGACTGAACTAGAAATATTGACGATATAAACTTACATACTTTACATACACTGTGCTGAGCACTGACACACGTCACACTCGCTCTCAAAAAAGAGTTAATGTCTCAATGGCCATGCACCCTATCCAAGTTCTTAGGCACAAATGTGCATTCATACACATACAAAAAAGCACATGTATTCAAAATGAGTACCTGTAGTCTTAACTCATTTCTATGAACAGTAAATGAACATGCACACTGAAAAAACACACGCACACACACAGTCTCATTCTGATGCACACACAGTAATGTCCCTCATGATTCGCCCTGTCTGCTAGTCCTCACAGGTCCAGAGACAGCTCCCCATGTGGAGAAGCTAAGGGAAATAAACTAGTGGTGGTCATCATGTGATGAGCGCAAAGCTAACATTTACAAATGTATGCATTTCTATTTCGTCTATCTGGGGATGAAGAGCTGGTGAGAGAAAGGATGTGTTGTGCAATTGCCCTCTCTCTCTCATTCATTCAGTCATTCGTTCATTCACACTCTCATAAACATACAGATCAAGTCCCTGTTTGGAGAAGGGAAACACACACACACACACACACACACACACACTCTAAACATGAGAATACAAAATTACCATTTGAACAAAAAAGACAAAAATGGCCTCTTATGTTTCATACGTCTTGGTAAGCAACAAAAAAAAGAAAAAAAAAAAAACCCATTGTGCAGACTGGTATATTACTGACACAAACCAACCATCACACATCAGTCACTCTCACAGTCATTCATACACATTCACAAAAATATTCACTTCTATAACTAACCCATTTGTTTGATTTTTTTTGTTGTTTTTGTTATTTCTTTTTTAGGCAAGTGCAAATCTTCAAGTTTTTTTATAATCCATTTTTCAATAGCTTTACTTTTTATATAAACGTAAAAAAATGCTAAACAAGAGAAATATCAACAGTGTTTGTCTTTCGAGAAAGGATTTGCTCTCCGATAAGGTTTCAACTAAAGGTCCCCCTGACTTTGAAAACCTAACAGCCCGACCATTCACCCCACTGACTGTTTCGCCGCCCCCTTCCAGTTCCGATGCACATGCACACAGATAATGTGTATGTACACATACCGTATGTGCACTGATTCCCAACACACACGAAAAGAAAAAAAAACTATTCAAATCCCATCTCAATAAAGTGCATTAGTTCAGTATAAGGTGCTTAATCTTTTGAGTGCCAGAGGATACCCATCTTCCTTTTAACCTCACCCCTCCTCACCCCCCTCTCCCCTGCTCAAGTGATCAACTGGTGCAGCAGGGAGCCCTTTTTTTTCTTGCCAAAAGGGGAAGGAAAGAGTCGGACGCACAGATCCAGGCGCCTCCACCCTGCACCTCCCCTCACGTTCGCTCCCTTCCTACCCCCACCCCCCACCCCCCTGGTTCCCCCAGCAGTGCACATTCGTCATCAGGTTTGTCTGATTAAAAGACAGAAGGCCTCAGGTAGCTATTGCTGCTGCGCTGTGTCACATCAGTAATCCTCCACCATCTCCATCTCATTCAGGCTCAGACACTCGCCCGCATTGTGGAATGAGTACCCTGCAGGGAGAAGGGGGGGAGGGCACGGAGGGCAGAGAGAAGACACGGAGAGAGCAGAGTACGATCAGAGGAGGAAGGGACATGGGGGAGTTATAAGGGCTGGCTTAGACAGAGTGGGCTAGGGACACAAGCCAGAAATAATTTATAAGGAGAGCCCTCTGTTCTGGAAAGGTTAAATGTATAAATATGAGAAGAAGATCATTTACAAAGTATATATATATATATATATATATGGTAGCGTGCACACTGAATTTCAGCTCCCAAAAACTCATTCAATGCTTAAATAAACACAATCTTCATCAGGCAAACAAGTGTTAGAAACAGCAGAGTTATATCATCAACCAATTTAGAGTTTGTGAAATCCAGTGTGTGAACAACCTCCACTGTTTTCTATATAAAACAGAATAATACGGATGCATCAGATTACAATATCCATTTTTACCTATATCACATTTGTTTGGCCACCTGTTTACATCTACTTCTAGAGCGAGCCAGCCCTGTGTTTATGCACCAAACAGCTCATGGGTATATAAATAAACATACATAAGCCCACCCTACGAGCACATCCCACTCACCACCTGGAGAGGGTGCAAACAAGTCAGCAAGATGCAATACTTTCTGCTGTGCTTCAGAAAGTTTATTTAGGCGCCACTTGATTCCAGGTGATGAAGGCATTCTTTGTGCATTAACTTTAACTTAGATGTTGAAGTGTGTCGCTGGTGTATTTGTTGACAGGTATTGTTTTGCGTAATCACAATGCTAATTAAAGAACAGCTATTTAAAGACTGCTATTTATAAATACCATTAGACCCTTTACAGATACATTTAGTTAAAAAAGGAGCAAATACCAAATGCTGGTGACATACCTAAGATGCTGGGGTCAGAGTGCAGCATCATGGGCTGTTTCTTCTTCATCTTTCCCCCCTGGTTGTCATAGAGACCAGCCTTGCCCATGTGGTTGGCTTGAAACATGGACTGCAGGGTGCTTGGATTCATACCTCGCATTGAGTCCTAAAAAAGGGAAAGAAAAATGAAGATCATACAAGTGTCCAGACATTCTCAATGGTCCCACCAAGTGTTTTTCTAATCAGCTATGACAAAATAAATTAAAAAAATAATTAATAATTAATCTAGGAGTCTATCCTTTTCTTGTGACAGCCTTCAGTTGCTGCTACTGCTTTAATGTTTTCAAAATACCCAATTGCTAACTTAAAGTTGAGTTGTTGACATGTTGCATTTCTCCCAGTTGCTTTGAAAGACCTTGTGTCCCCTTGAATATAAATAAAAATGTGGATTTTTCTTTAGAGATTTAAAGTTTCTCCCAGGTCTGATATTTAGCAACTAGTTAACAATTATAAAATGCAGAGCGATATCTGTATTTACCTGCAGAGGGAAGTTCATGTTCAATCCAGCCACTTCCTTTGATAACTGGGACACAAAGAGGAAAACAGGAGGAATTTACAATGGTCACAATGAACAACACACAGCTATTTTTCCTGTTCACGGTATTTCACAACACATTATGTATTACAAGCCTGGCATTCGTATAAAAACAACATTCACGATTGCTTATTCTCTTTTTATCTCGTTATTATAGTATAATAAATAGGATCTACTTCCCAGATTTGTTCCTCAAATGTACTGGTCATACAGCATATCCAAGTTTTGTTTTGTTGTAATTTGTAATATTTTTAAGTACATATTGTTACTGCAAATACATGGTTTCTTTTCATGCAGAGTATGGTGCAGTTTTAACACACCTAACATGTTAGGCAATGAATGAATGACAGAAGTAAACTAATTATGCAAGTTCCACTTGAACTTAAATGCAGTCTGAAAACCAATAGAAATTAACTTAGAAACTAAATGGAAGCATTGTTTATATAAAAGGAGGAAAAAAAATAAAAGCACAGTGACTGATTGGCCTTAATATACGTTTTCTGTGGTGACCACATATCTATTGTTACTATGCTCTGAAAGTAGCCATCAGAAGACATGGTAGCTTTGTTCCATACAGAGAGAATGAAGTCTAAGTCTGAGTGTGAGCCAGCAAGTGGCCGTTTTGCTTTACTTGTTTACTTTTGGATCCTGAACTGATGGGGTCGTATCCAAGAGGTTATGTTTTCAACATATGCTGTTCTCAACTGAGAAGACCTTTCGAGCTCAGGCCTACCTGCTGCTGCTGTCTCTGTTGGTTGGCTTTCTGTTTGGCACGTCGCTCCAGAAACTGTTTGGCGAACTCTTTGGCTTCCACTGTGTCCCCTAGGTAGGACCGGATGAAGTCCAGCACTGCATAGGGAGACTCCACCTCCTTCAGGTATGCCACAATTGTGGCAACTTAATAAAGACACATAGTTTAAACTATTAACAATGCTGAAACTATGGGGAATGATTTTGAGATAAATGTACTTTTAGGTACATCAGTTCTAAAATGTATTGTATTTTAGACACATAGCAATCAACTATTAAGTTGTGTGAATTCTCTTCAACCTTGACATTGCTAAATACATACCATCCAGAGAGGAGGAGGAGTTGTTGGCAGAGGTGTTGAGAGCGTGCAGCATCTGTTCACACCAGGTGGTGAAGCCGTCCTGAGGCTTCATGCCCTGCAGCAGCTTCAGCAGCTTGTCCTCCTCCTCTGTCCGCTTACGACGCATCATGTACTGCTCACTGCAGAGGACACATAGGGTTCAACGCATATTAATTATGTTCATCAACTGCAAGACATTCAAATATAAATTAATATTACAATGCTATGTGACACAGTAAGTGTAGAAAATAGGAATTTTAGTTCATTTAATCTGGTCTCAAATACCTCAGTGAAGGACTGCTGCGGCTGTTCTTCAAGCCCATGTTGTTGTTGCTGTTGCCACGCAGGCTGGCCTGGCTCTTCACAGCCTCGTCCCACATGCCCATGCTGCCTGAAGAGCCTCCACTGCCACCCTTACCCTCCATACCTCCAGGCCCACCCCACATACCAACACCATCAGCCCACTGCCCTCCCATGGAGGAGCTTCCCATCGACATGCCGGAGTGCTGGAAACGGATAGAGAAATCGTTAGGACAAATTACATGACATGATTTTCTATTGACATTCTCTACAGTGGACCCTCTATGACATTTCGTATGAAACCTTAGAAACATATCATTTAAATAGCTGAAACTCACGCGGTCTCTCTGCTGCTGGGCTCTCTGTTGCTGCTGCTGCTTCAGGAGCCTCTCTGCCTCCTGCTGCATTTCAAGCAGAGAAAGAGCAGGGGGCTTTCCTGTCTTGGCGAGCCCAGAGGAGGTAGCCCCGCTCCAGCTTGAGCCGCCTGAGACGGGACCCTGCTGCAGGGGGGTCTGCTGCAGTAACTTCATGATCAGTTCCTGCTGCTGACGACACTAAAAGAAGATATGACAGGAGGCAAACACTTATCGTTAATGCTCATTTATTAGTTGGTGGGCAGCATTCAAGTCATTGAACAGCCATTCTTATTGTATTCATCTTGCAAATGCAATATTATGGAAATTTTCAACCTCAAAATAACAGCTTCTTCATAATTGTGATGGTATACTGACATGTAATTGGGCGAATGGTGCCTCTGTCATTCATACTCTGTGCCCCCACACCTGTTCCTGCACTAAGTAACTTGTGCAGTAAGAGGATAACACTTTACAGCAGTAAAGTTCTCACTATTGGACTAGTAAGTTATATTAGCTGGCTTGCTATGTCCTGTGTTGTTGGACTTGCTTGATATGTATGTTGTTAGAGAAGTTGTGACACCAGTGATTCTGCAACTCGGGGTGCCACTAAATCTTATATAGTGTCGCTTTAATATGATCATAGCTAATTGTGATCTCTAACACTGAGCATATGTAAACTAAAAATTAAAACTCAACCTAGAACATTTCAGTTTAAACGAGCCAAGTCTGTAACATGATTAGGTAATTATTTATGTTACATAAAAAAAACATTTACATTTTCAGTGTGCAAAACCTGAAAAAATAAAATAAAAAATTCTCTCAATATTTGTAGCCCAAAGCAACAAAAATATCTCCTTTCTTCTTCTCACCTGCTTGCGTCTGAAGAGCTCTTCTTCCTCCCTCCTCTTCTGCTCCTCCTGTTGCCTCCTCTTCTCCTCCCTCCTCTTACGCTGTTCCTCCTCCTCACGCTTCGCCCTGAGTTCAGCGTCTCGCCTCTCCTGCTGGAGCTAAAGGGAAAGACACATTGGGAGTCAGGCACAAACGGAGCTTAAAATAAACAAAAAAAGGCTTTGCATTTGACCCAATCCATTATAATTACAGTTATTGTGTCTGCTAGCATTGCTAACAATTTGTTAGCTAGCAATAAAAATGCTTGGAATCATTTTAGTTCAAATGTTTCAGCTGAAAAACATGTAACATAAAAAACCTAGCCAATGTAGACAGTTTTTGTTCTATGGCTAAAAATCCCACGACTGAACCCACCTTTTGAAGCTGTTCGAGAGTTGGACCCTGAGTAGAAGGATTCATTGTTATGTCCCAAAGACTGGCTTCACCGCCTACATGGAGATAAAATTGAGTTATTTTACCATCATTGGGTACAGCATATACATTTACATATAAATATACACATGTCACAACCAGTTGTGGTCTAGAACATACCTGATGGCTGTGAAGCTGAGGTATGCATGTCCCACATGGACCCTGTATCTGGCACTGACATCGACCTGTTCATCGAAGGCATCATACCCTGCTCACTGCACCTGGAACACACAACGCAAAGCCCAACACAGACATCAACGTCAAAAATCTCCTCATGTAAAATGACAGAAACTAACCAAATTACTAAACACTAGACATGTAAGGTGAAACCGACCTGTTAATGAGCTGGAATAGCTGCTGCTGTTGGAGCTGCTGATAAAGAGCTGCTGCTGCCAGCTCCTGTTGCTTTTTCAGGCGCTCCTGATCCAGGTTTCCCTAAAAAGAGGAGAGCAATTCACCAGTCAATACAATGCATCTTCAAACTCAAGATACCAAAACACAGCTATTCAAACATAGTGGGCTATGTCTAAGAAAGAATTACTTGTATGTTTTTTACAATTGTATTTCTATATGCAGCCATCAGGGAATTGTCCATTCTTTGTAACCACAGACTGTGCTCTACAGACTAGTCTGGGATGAGATACAGTATATAAAAAAATTGACCATATAGGAATTGTGCATTTCCCCAAGATGATGAAAAAGTAACATTCGTTCATACATGCACAAACTGATCAACTGTGCCACTTTTATAGGTAATCAGGAACATGTGGCACTATCTGTAGTGTTACATTACAGCATTAAATGTTGGTATGGAACCTGCCCTGTTCTGCTCCACTTATTTGAAGCTTACATGCAACCAGTGACTTTTACTGGAGGCCGCTGCATAATATGGTTTTAATGACCATATTCTTTTTTTATAAGGTTTAAATATTGATATCTTAATTCCCTCCTGTAGGAAGTTGGAAAGAGATATCCACAGTTACACACAGTTAAAATGACAACATACAGTTTTGTGTCCTAAAATCAAGTGGGGGTAATTTCAGAAACTTTCAAATGGAGCCCGTCACATTAAACTGAATTTGAATTAATTGTTGGTCTTTTACCGTGACCTGTCTATCAATCTTCCCTCTCCTCTGCATCCTCCCTTCCCCATCCTCTACGTTGGCTGAGCTCTGACTCACAGTCCCGGCGGGCCCCCGGGTGGGCTGCGGGCGCTGAGTTGGTGGTGGCTGTCTCACCAGCAGGGGCGGCGGGGAGGGCCCTGGGGCGAAGGGCACGCGGCCCCACATCTTTATGACGTCCCCCAGGGGTTGGAAGCCCTCGTCGCAGCCCCGCTTCACCAGCAGGGTCATGGTGAAATAACCAGCCTGGAACCACTCGCACATCTCTACTGTGGTGAACGGACCTGGTAGAGGGCAGGATAGAGAGACACAGAGAGAGAGAGACACAGAGAGACAGAGAGAGAGAGAGACACAGACACACACAGAGAGAGAGAGACACAGAAGAGAGAGAGAAAAGAGAGAGAGAGAGAGAGAGAGAAGAGGAGAAGGAGAGAGAGAGAGAGAGGAGGAGCAGAGGAGAGGAGAGAGGAGAAGGATGAGTTTCTAGCAATGCAACATATGTGATACCATAGCAAGACTTAGTTTTACCTTACTTAAGTTCAGACCAAGCAGATATTCTATGAATAACACCGTGCTATGATCCCAGTCGGATGTGTATCAAGGGAACAGTGAATGGCAGCAGTGTGCGACTGTACCCTGGCATCTCTCTGCGGTCCTTGTAAGAAAGCCACTGTCATGGCGGCCTCATGTGGACCAGCCGGCCAGACGCCAGCTGCTGTCGTTCCGTACTCTCCTGCTGCTGCCCTTGCAGAGGCCTGGTTGAACCACCCACCTCCCTCTTCCAAGAAGTCGTCGCAGCTGATCCACCACTCTTCTTCTGCTCCTACCGCACATACCCAAAAACAAACGCAGGTTGTCACTGTAACACACGGCGACATCTTAATATACCTGGCCCCCAAATTAGTAGACCATATAAAATAAAAGATAATGCTACAACATGCTCTCGACAGACTTACAGATTCCCATTGTTGAGAGCGTCCACCGTAATGAGTCTAAAGGATCATTGCTGCTAGCCAACAATAATCAGGACAGTTGCAGCCAAGAGTTTGCCCGCCAGGTTAGATGGAAGAGGAGTTTTTCTTTTACCGTAATGATGTGTCTGAGACAGCTGCTTGAAATGGCCCGCGCAGTCCTGTTCCTACCTGGCTGCCCAGGTGTTCATTGCGCCCGTCATCGTCCTCGTGTGTCTCCCCTCCAAGATGGAGGCGGAGGCGCAGAACGGAGCAGCAGAGGAAGGGGGTGGGGGAGGCAGACTGGAGGGGGTGCTGGGGCTCAGCTGGGCCTTGGAGCCCCCTACAGGAGTCACGTCTGACACAAAGAACAACAACAAGAAACTTTAGTAAAACAATGGGCCCTATTTTTAATGTTTCTATTTATGGCATGATGATGTTTTGTGTGTGTGTGAAGGGGGGACACAGAGCCACCTACTGGCTCTGTGTCTGATACAGCAGGAACAGCAGGTTCAGTAAACAAGATATTAAATGACTGGGGCTAAACATATTGTGTATCAAACCGAAATATCAACGTGGCTGAATTTCCTCCCACACTCTCTCACTGTCCAGACACTAAAAGAGCTTGGCTGAATGCAAGAAGCCAGAAGCTATAATGTTACAGAGCCAGGACAAGATGCTCAACACTTCAAATCTGAGTTCAAGAAAGTATGAATAGCCAAATGTTTGGACAGTGATGTTTATAAAAGCACTGCTTGCTCCAGTGCTTCCAAAGAGGATTTAAAGGTTAAGAATACATTTTCAAACTTGTGTTTATTAGTTAAAGTCAGCCAATGTGAGATTCATAATGAGCACCAGCTCCTGTCCATGTTTTAATGGACTCCAAGAAATAAACACATAGATAATAAAGTACTGAATCCATCTTTGTGTTGGTAGCACAATAGTCTACTTAAACCTCAAAAAAGACATTGCGTACCTTCACTGGCTGTGCTGATGGCCTTCACTGGGTGGCTGTTGTTCAGCTGAGGGTTGTCCACCACTGGGCCAGCGTTGTTGGGCCGAGGGTCCAGGAATGGAGGGGCACAGTGGACTGGAGGAGAGGAGGAGGGTGATGCTGGCTTTGTCTCAACATCCCCAACAGCAGAGCCAGCATCTTTACACTCTGTGAGGTAAGAGTGGAGGAAAGGAAGGAAGAAATTAAGTAGGATGTCCCAATAATCAGGAATTCATTCCTGCTGGACAAAATGTAAACAATTTTGCACGTTAAGAATGCAAAAGCAAGTTTAATTAACAGTTCAATTTTGCTTTTAAATCAATAAGTCAACTGAACAAGTCTGTAACAATAAGGCTGGTACAGAATAACCTATATATATTCCATGACACCTGTAGGTGATCATATTGTGAAACTGCATTATTTGACAGTTAGAGTAGAAGAGGCCAATATTGATATTATGGGTATTTTTTATTGAATAAAACAGAATTAATTTCTGACTGCAAAATACCATTATTTGAAAAAAAAAAAAAAAACACACTAAAAGTATTTCCTTACCCATGTCTTTGTCTCCTTCAGCACTGTTCCTCTCTGCGTCAGCGTAGCTCTCCTCTTCTTCCTCCTCTTCTATCCCCTTAAACTCGAACTCCTCCTCCAGGATTGTCTCCTTGCCACCCTTCTGACAGAGAATGACCAGGAAAAACAGAGGACAATCAAGAGTGTAACAACTGTCTATGGACATGAGGGCTGACAATAAAAGAAACATACAGTTGGAAAGACCACATGACCCCGTTATTCAACACCTTTTCTGTACAAAGACTGTAACTGTCTGCTACACACACCTTCATTGGCATGAAAGCTCCAGAGGAGTCAAAAGTGCCCATCTCCCCGTCCTCCTCATCTGTACACCACTCAGGCAGGCCGTCCCTGTCATCCTCTAGTCCATCACTGCCTGCACGCCGGCGGCCACCACCATGACCATCCGAGTCCCGGAAGTCGAAATCAAACTTCCGACGACGACTCTCACCTGGGCCGACATGTTCCCGCCAGCCTGCTGAGCGAGGAGCACCATCTGACAAAGAAATTAACCAGCGTCAAACAAGGATACAATCACAAGTAATGATCAGCAGAGTCAATGAAAAATATTGACGAAACTGAGAGGGTTCCTACTACAAAAAGGTACAGAAACAAGATTTCATAAGAGAAACACATTGCAAAGTTAGAGCAGTTGCCCAGACAATCATGTGCTTATGTCTTGGGATGTGTCATCTCCCCTCCACCACCTCCTGGGGGTGTGCTCTGACATAAACCAGCTTCAGTTTAGAGTTTAAGATGAGTTAAAACATGTTGTTAGGAAAGGGCCATGTGGTCCCTTCTCCTGACTGTTATATCCTCAGAAACTGTGCAGCTCTGTTTCAGCCAAAACCCAGCTACTGTGTCTTGTAGGAATCACTGTACTGCCACTAGATGTCACTATATCTACTGTTACAGACCTGCTGCACACATTGTCTCAACTGAGGTTTAATGGCATGGAGCATGGAGTAATATAAATCACACTCTTCTACTCAGGCCATTTTAACATCTAAAATATTATCAGCTTTCACCATGTATGGTGTTACATAGCATACTCCAACTGATACACGTATACATCACACTTATTTGAATGGTCACATCTGCCTGTATTATATGAAGAACCAAACTGGCCACTTTACAGGGATTGTGTATTTGCAGATGTGTTCCAGAAAAAGGTCTATGTTCTTATGTGGTTTGGCTGATTCAAATGTAGGTCACATGGCCACTTTGTACAACTTCAGTCACCTGCAGCTGTATACAGATTAAAGAGTAAAGACAAGTTGCAATACTGCAGCTAAGCTAACAGCAGCATTCCCTTCAGACTGGTGAATAAATATATCAAGTGTGTGCGGACAGCTCATTGTCTTGAAAAAGGAAAATAAATGATTAGGCATTTTCTCCTGTATGTCTTAACATTTTCAACACAAACAAGAATTTGAGGCAGCACTACAACAAATACATAAATGTTTGTATCATACCATCCCTGCGGGGTGCAGTAAGTCTCCAGCTGCTGCCTGGCTCCCCCTCATCCTCGTCCTGCTCCTCCCGGAGGGTGCGCCAGTTATCGCTGTCGGCCCTTGTGAACTCCTTCCTCCCTGGAGCCACGGGACCTGCAACCTCTTCAAAGCCAGGACGCCCCACCTCCCGCCGCAGAGGCTTCTCAAAACGACGCTCACCCCTGAGGAAAGGAGGGGAAATTGAAAGAAATCCTTATCAGTTAAGTGATAAACAGAGGAAAACAAATCCAAAACATTTTACTAGCTTTTCTCCATGAGGAATATGGCCAACCAAAACTTGTATCTCGCCACCACAGATACCAATTCACATGTTTTAACCAGGCCCATGAAGAAAAACAACAAAAAGATACTTCAGTCTAGGCAGGTTAGAGAAGATGCCTGCAAAAGTGAGATAAATCATCCCACAAGAGCAAAAATCTACAAAAACACTTCAGCAGTGAAGTCATTCACCTTTACTATGCCATGAAGCACTCGGGGGGCCATGATTTTTTTGACCTTCAGATAGTGTGAGCTGGGTTTTTCTTACCGGTCATCCCAGCTCTGGCTGCGATGTATCTCTCGGACGCTGCGGCCGAAACCCACCTCCGCATCTTCAATACTTCTTTGGTAGAATCCACCTTCACCACGACCTCGCCCTGATTATATACACACACAGAGGCGGAGGGGCTCATATTTAATATAATCCTCATGGGTTTAATAAATTAACAAACACTTTAATAACATAACAAAATGTCTTGTGCCACCATTCAATTAGCTTAGCCTTTAATAAGCCCTTCGAGCTCTGCCACACACACACCAGCACGTGCACACAAATGATGAAAGCTACACAGCATCTTTCTTCTAAGTTGTTTCCTTGGCTGTCCTGAACCGGACGGCTTGTGTTTACATTGGCCGTTCATAAGCGCAGAGGGCTGTGTGTGCACAAGGTGAGTTCATAAGCCCCAGTGGTTTTAGACAGGTGTGGCTGGACAAAAGGAGGGCTATTTAGACAGGCCAAGAGGAAGTGTGCTGCATCAAGATGGTGGATGAAAAAGGGGAAATAAACACTTCAGTGGCTGGCTTGAATAAACTGTCTTACTTTCCCTGGATAACAGCCATTGTCGTTTCAGCCAAGGGCTTTTGGGCAGCGTTACTGTTGCTGTTGGACTCATGTTAGCTTTAGCACAAGTGGTTGTGGATTTATCATGAGTGCACTTAGGCTGAATCAATGCTCTACTTTATTTGTTGCTGATTTTTCTATTCCAATGGGTGTCTGGGTGTTAATTTTTGCCTCTAGTTTTTTACCTCGACCGCCTCGTGTGGCCCCTCGTCCTCGGACCACTCCAGCTGGGGCGGCCCCACCCACCCCTTTTCCCATGAGCCTTAGCACCGCCACACTGTTCACAGACATGGAGAAGTTCCTCTGCCGAGAGAGAAGAGAGAATGGAAAGAGCAAAAGGGAGGAATGTGAGGAATGTGAGCTCGCAGCCACATTTGTCAACCAACAGAACAGCTCGCATTGGAGCCGAGGTTGTATCACGTTGAGATATCACATGACAAGCTGAAACAGTTCGACATTTTCAGGTATCAGTGTATTTGTAAGCACGTGTAACAGACCTGCTCCTCCTCAGTGAGAGGCACCAGTGCCAGTGGCTGCATGGGCTCATCTTGCAGAATAGCAGCAAACTCCTTATCCTGCATGTCCTCTGGGACCTAAAACAACAATAATGAGCACTTAAGGACAAACCTAAACTTAAACTTACATTTTTGAGAATGGGAAAGTAAATGGAAGTTAAAAAGCAATATACATGCTAGTGTTTAGTCCTAGACCACTTTTAGCCCCATTGACTTCCTCAACATTGCGACACATTAAAGATTGTTCTTCTTATTCTGTGATTCATACAGTGCTGAGAGAGTAAAGTTTTCCCATTAACCTTGTTGTCTTTGATATAAAGTGCTAACATCTCCTCTCGGCCGTAGCGGTACTCGGCCAGCTTGTACTTTGGCATGGCGGGGGAAGGAGGGGGGGACGTCACACTCCCCCCACTGGACAGTGCACGGAGCCTGCGCGAGGAAGAGCACAGGAATTATTTAAAATCAGAATAATGTATTTTTAACATCAATATTAATCACCAACAGTCCATTTCAATGATGGATTTGAAATGTAGAACTTGGATGGAATGGTTTGCAACTTTCAATATTTATATACACAAGAAATCAAATGAACTACTGACGAGTAACAAAAGCTACCAGTCAGGTGTCAGTGCTTCACATCACTGACCTGAACCTTTATAGCTAGCTTCATGTTTGCAGTGTTTTTCCCTTTGTACTGACTGGAGCTGACGTACGGTGTTGAAAACCCCCTTATAAATAAATTTGTGTAAATTTCTCTGTTGCCACAGAATACCAAACATTAGAGATATTGTGCAATCATGATAGAATTCCTTTTAATCTGAATTTGAGAAAAATAACTTATAGCATCCATCTCGCAGCAGGGAAAAGGAATTTACTAAATGTTCTGTAACAAATCAACCATCCTCCTACGCAGGTCCCCCTGAATACACTTGGCTCAACACAGATGATATATTAGCTTTCCAATCTCAAGATTTCATTTTAAAAAGCTATTACTAGCAGGCCAGATTCCAAGGCCTGCTGTTTAACAAAGGCTCCATTCACATGCCTCTACAAAGTGTGTCATTGACTCACAGCCCCACATCAAAACCATATGCAACTCTGAGAGGTGTAGAGGTGGGTGTGGGGTGTACGAGGTAAAGGAAAGCATCATGAAAAGGCCAGTTGGTAGCATGTGGTATATCAAAGAGGGTAAAAATAAGTGGAGCAGCAAGTAATATGCATAACAAGGGGAGAGCTCAGGAAACATGCCAGTGGGTGGGGTAAGAAATATTTTTGTATCCAATTCACTTGCATTTAGCTTCGCGAAATGTTTCCCTCTCTAAAAGGGACAAAGCATATAAGCTAAAAGATCTTCCACACATTTAAATCTGTAAATTCATAGCACAAAGCCTGGCCTAAAATTTGTTACATGAATCTAAAATGTGAGGAAGAAGGTTTTAACTTCTACCACAGTGACTAACAGCATACTTGCCGACTCTACGGCCAACAAAACCTCAAATGGCCTAAATAAATTTGTGACGCTAACAGGCATTAAAAGACTTGTAAACATGTTAGCCAGACGGCCGTATGTGGTGAGCACATGAACTGGCTGCTACATGGCTGTATTAAAAAGGGTACGAGGATAAAAGTGGGATGGAAGGGCCACTGAGAGGAAAGCAGCTGCAGATGTGTAAAAAAAAAAAAAGAGAGAAACATATTCTGTGAGGCTGGCACTGCACCAAGAATGCACATAGCAGTCACAGGCCGTTAGAGATGGAGTGCTACCAAACTGGAGACTACGCCCCCCCATTAATCGTTACACAAACATACACTGAGGAGGACGAGAAACAGCAGAGAGACAGAGAGATGGACAGGACGCCGCTGTGACAATACCTACAGTTTGCCACGGTTAGTGATTATAGGACAAAAATCTCTTTGAAGACCCCAACTGAAAACATAAAGTGCATATACAAACCCACTGAACCAATGTGGATAGTTACAGTGATTTACAACTACACATTTCTTCCCCCTTGATGGCGGGACCTGAAGACACTGAGGCTGGTGGGTCTCTCACTCCAGAGCAAAATATGCAACTAACCAACAAGGTGCTGTCTTCAAATAGGTTGTTTTGTCTGACCAACAGTCCAAAACCCAAACAATGTGAGTTAGTTTAGTTTAGTACCATATAAGACAAAGAAAAGTAAGCAAATCCTCATATTTCAAGTAAAAAATGACAAAAGCTTGACCCCGCGAACAATTAACAAAATTACTCTAAATAATTCATCGGCCATCGAAATAGTTGCAAAGGAATCCTCTGTTGAATGCCGTATTGATTAATTGACTAATTGTTTCAGCTATAATCTCTGCAAGTAAGGGCCATTTTCCCATGAGATCTAGCATGGACAATCCCAGAGGATGATTCCTAAAGTGGAGAACAGATTTGATATCCACAGTGCGTGCATATATATATATATATATATATATAGCAGTTTCCATGGGTGGATGATTCCTAGTTTCTAGTGCACATTCAACATTTCTTTAAAACAACATGGAAGGAAAAACCTAAAAATGGTCCGAAGGTCAAAAACTCAAGAACACGCTAGTAAAACAGACCTTGTGCTAAGTCAAATCATAAAACACATTTCACTTAGTCAAACCTTCAAAGAATCACACTGTCGCCAAAAATGTATCTAATCATCACGACAACAATCACATTCATTATGTTCTGCGTATATTTAATAATGCAAAGAAACCAGTTACCATTCTGGGCCGAAGTTAAGAGTCTCAGCAGTCATATTCTTCACGTCCACACAGAACTGAGTATCTGAGGGGGGGAAAGAACACTTATAGTTTTATTTCCGCAGAAAGAAAAACACCTTGCACATATGAAAATATGAGCAAAAGAAGAAATGTGCCCCCAAACTGCCTTACCCTGTCCAGATGATCGGAGCAGGCTGGACTGGGCTGGACCAGGCTAGAGCTGGCTTGCTTTAGTTAGGCTTAGGTGACTAGAAGGCTGAGTGGTGCTTAAGCTGTGGTCACAGAGCTCCCCAAACACACAGACACAAAGAGAATAGCTGCCAGTTTCAGGTGCTTGAGGAATACCAGGTTATCAGGTCCTAACTAAATAAGGAAGGGGGTTTGACGATAGTTTGGAGAATGGAAGCTCCTGCTACTCACAGCCGAAAAAGGTTGTTAAACATAAAAAAAGAAACAGAAAGAACCTTGGAAATTAACAGTGGAACAAAATAAAACACTCTTGCTAGTAATAAGGTTTTCTTTTTCTTTTTTTTTTTTTTCTTTACAGCAGTTATATCTCACATAAAGTTAAAAATATGAACTGATTCATCAAAAAAGTAACGCAGGAACGAAATAACAGCCAAAACAATGAAACAGGCTGCTGGAACAGCTGCCAAGAGCAGACGCGACTCGCACTCCTCTTCTCCTTCTCTCTCTCCCTCTGTGCCTTTTTCTCTCGCTCCAACTGAAATGTGGATTGACGGAGACCCTCCAGGTAACTCCTTTATTTCCTGTCCTCCTCCCTTTGCACCACTGGAAATAAAGCAGAGTTTGAGAGAGGGAGGTCAAATTCAACGCTTAAAAGAAACAGTGTACACTTAGTAAATTAGCTGCCAGCAAGATGCTTTTTCACAGCTTGGCAGTCCACCTATATTGTGATAGGAAAAGAAGTGTAATTTGATTTTCCATTGTGTAGCCATGACACACTATTTTCACAGCGTGCCTTGGACTCACTGAAACCGGCCCAATTTGATCAATCCGTTACAGCACGCTGAGCCGAGAGAAAAACATGGTGGTATTCCTGCACGAATAAATTTGTAGTCTAGTGCTCAATCATGGCCCAGTGTTGCTGAGAGAGATTTTCCACCCAGAAATCTAGGGAGTCTATTTCAGTGATGTTGTGAACCAGCTGCTTCTAAAAACCATGCGGCTGGTTGGGGATAGTTCCTGAAAATGTCATGCCAACTAAACAAATATCCAGGCTGCTAAATTTTAACAAATGCCCACAGTCAGCGTGTCTCCATGAAATGAAAAAATATAGCCTAGCATCCTTGCATTTAAACATTTTCAACAACTTCTTTCCTGTTATCTTCATGCTACAGGAGTAAGCCACGTCACTTTAATCGAAGTTAATAGTAGGTATGCACCAATTGGGAAATTCTGCATTAATATCAATGTTAAAAATAACAAAATAAACTATAGTTTATGCTTTTTTGTTGTTATTTATTCAACCTTTCGTGCTGGGAAAAAAAATAATCTAAAAAGATAAGCAACCCTGCCTTGTTGCAGCTCAGTCCATTTCTCTTCTCATCCTGACGCTCAATGTCCGGAGCACATCGGTATTTGTGTGCAATTTGTGCCAGTGCTGGAAAACGGAGGTGATTATTTAGCCAATATCTAAGTCAGAAATGACCAACATAATGTTTAGTCAGCGCAAAGCCGATGAGACACAACTGATAGACATCCGCCACTGAGAGTAGTGGACGCCAGCTTACCTGCCTGTTTTGACGTCAATCAACAAGGCGAATATCGGCCGATACCGATGTTTGGCCGATATATTGGTGCATGCCTAGTTAACAGTGACAGATGTACAACTGGGGCTGGCAGAATGAAAGTTACCAGGCTGGCTGTCACCACTATATATTAATTATACTGAAATGTATGATGGTAACTTTGGTTATTTTAAATCTAGACCTTATTTCCCCACTTTTTACCTACATGAAGGTTCTTTGATTTCACATTTCATTTGCACACAGACAGCACTGCTCTCCAACCACCGGGCCAAGACTATATCAACTAACTAAAGATGTGATTTAACACTGTACGGGTGGGCGATATACCACATATGCGATGACAGTTATTATGTTTCCCAAGCACCATCTAGCATTAGCTTATGCTCTTGTTCAGAGTTCTGGTGTGCTTCTGTGTTTTGTTTTTGTTTTTTTTAAATGAAGACTATCAGCAAGACGTTAGTGGGACTTTGTAAACAACAATCTGACAACATCATTTCTACAGAAGATAGTCTGAACCATAACTGAACTATAAAACTAGCAAACTAAGCATGTGTTCAGATGAATCTGAACCTTGGATCAATGATTAGACGTTTCAGGGGACCATCAATTCTGCTGATAAATACCACCAGGTTTTATCAGCTTTACCCACTTACAATCACTTCGTCAGATGATAAAATGACCCATTGCTTAGGGTTGGGTACCATGGTGATATAGGATGTCAGACTGTTTATATGAAGGTATATAAACCACCACTGTATATAAATTAGCAGGACTCCGTTAGCACACAGTCAAAGCCTCTTAAGATCTTCCTAAAATAGTTATATACAGTATTTTTGAAAATATGGACAGCAAAAGTCTCCGGTTATTTTTTATAGAAAGGCTGCTGAAATAAACTCGACTAAATCCCAGAGGAACAGGGGCTAGTTAAGCGAGGGGGGCAGGACTTTTGGGAATCGTAAGTACCGCGCTGGCACTAGGTTAAACTGCATGATGTCAATTTAAATTGAACACATAATAGTACTTCATTTTATTTTAAGAAATGTAAATATCGATAACTCATTAACTTTGTCCAGATGTTTCAGTTCCACCGCCCTGCAGCTGCATTGTACAAGCCCCGAGCACTTCAGCTTTCTATGTATGTAGAAATATGTCATGATGTTTGACGTTTGTGGTAGGAACAAGCTTGAAAATCTGTTTAAAAGAACAGGCATTCAACTCCTGTGTTTGATGAATGGTTACTCAAAATAACCCTGATCGGACCAACAAATGTATAATTCTGAATGACTCACGTGGGACACGGTGGTGCATGCTTAAAAATAGCGTCAAAAGGCAACACTGTCAAAATGCCACACTGTCAAAATGCCAGAATACAATGAAACACTATTTGGCCATATCGCAGGGCTCTTATGAAGTGATTCAATGGTTATTGGGACATAAAAACTACAATACTCAATTTTATACTTCTGTTGGCACTGACCAAACATCCCTGTTTACTTAGTTGAAAAGTCCTTCGTAAGAAGTGGAAAAACAAGTTTTTGATACAAGAGTGGCACTCATCAGCATTATGTTAGAACAGCACTGTGTATGTTCACTATAATGATTTTCAAATCCAATATAAGTTGGCGACAAAAGAGGTTTTTGAAAATTGTTGTGAATGAAGCAGTCCTTTGTACTGTTTGTTAGTGTTGGAACTTATGCCTCACTGCTATGTCAACACTATATAATTACAGGAAATTCAGTATATGATTGCTGTAGGATACTTTAACAGTTTACGTTCTAAGAGGCTCCAAGGACATTAAAAACAACTATTAATACACACGTTTAAGGCAACTAGAAGATTGGATGCTGGTGGGTCCAATTTACATCCAACTGCAGTGTGGGTATAAATCATTCATTTTCATTTTTGGATTTAACTGCTGGAGATGAAGTTGGTGAGTGAGTTTGCATGTGTAGGCATGTCAACCTAACTTATATGTTAAATTTAAGTGACAACATAAAATTGTCTTGGTGGTAAACTAAGAAAGAGGCCCTTGTTGTAAAAAGGGACTGTACCATTTCCATTAGACCTCTGGTTGCCACAACTGTTAGATTAACTCCTTTAGGTTACTGATGAGTACCTCTCATAAATATCTGGGTATTATTTGATACTACTGTAATATAGCGAGCTTTAAGACTTTGAACACAGGCACTTAGCACATATTTATCAGTTTAAGCAAAATAAGAAAACATTTACCATTAGGATTCATTTATGCCATTCAAATTCATGTAAATTACAGTGAGGTCAGTCAATACCTAAGGCTAGCAGAAAATCTCAATGGAAGAACACAGCTCAACAGACCTCCAACAATGAATTACATCTAACTTCAAACTTAATCTTCACCCCGCTTTCGCTTCTTTAAGTTGCAAAATCTGGACATCTTTAGCACCTAGTACTAACTTTGCACTGAGAAAACTGAAGCAAGGTCACGGAGGAATAACGTTGCTTGCAGAATATTAAACCTCTTATGCATCTCAATATCTGCGAATATGATGCACTTGAAAACGTGGCGGGCTAACGACTCCGAGCTGCGGGAATGCCAAATGTAAAGCTATGCTAAAAGTGGCATTCACCGTACACCAGCTCGAAACTTCACCAAACTGAAACAACGCTAAATTGTTTGTTCGTAAAGATGGCTAACGTATAGACCAAATAGCTCGAGTTAACATTAGCCACCGTCAGTGGTTTCGAGCAACATTGCCGCATGGATTGTTCGTATTTTAAGCCAATTACGGCAGATCGATTTGTGGAAAAATTAAACTAAACCAATGGTTACGACAGAACTTGCCCCACAATATCACATTTCTGTTGCATAACACATATGTGTTCGCTAGCTTGCTACATAAGCTAGCTCAAGGTATGCGCTGATCGTAAAGGCCTTCGCTTGTAGGTTCAAATGACACCAGATATGATGGCGGAGGGGGCGGAGTGTGGAGAGCAGACTCCCGGCCTGCTCCGCCAATGTGCGGACGACCACCTCCACTCGGTTGTCGGTGTAAAGCTAGTGCTAACGCGATGTAAACAAAACACACACAATGCCAGAAACAACAGAGCTTTGGCCCATGAAGGAGTGAATGCCAATAACCTTCTCACGACAGATAAATCCAAACCTTTCGAGCAGCAAGAGCCGAGCTTAGCCTGCTAGCTCACGTTAGCCAGCTAGCTGAAAGACAAGCTGCAAAGAGGAACCATGGCTTACCTTCACTGTTTATAGCTACCACACTGGTTGTCTGCACGGCGTGTCTACAGCCAATATATCGTATGCATTGGTCTCTTTAAACACTGTAAACGTATTCATTCGACAGAATCGTACTTTCAGAAAGTCGCGCTCTGTATTTTATTTATTATTTTTCCCTCTCCTCCAACGGTCGCAGCTGCGTATATCAGTATGTGTCTGCTGGCTCCCAGTCGCTGCTCTTCTTGTTGTTTGTGTTTCGGAAACATGGCCGTCCGTGTGATACCACGTGACTGGACATTGACAGCGGCTAACCAATGTTGTAGCAGGGCAAACACACCCCTATTTACGAGCCTGGACGCTGATGTGTGCCGCACTTTGCAACATGTTTAGGTGCAGACCGTCTTAGCTGGATGGGTTTAGTTAGCCAGTACGCTGAGGAGCGAGGTCAACTTTAGCATTTGATTGTATTTTAAGGCATTTACATCGAAAGACAGCCATACAAATTCACGAGGCAGCAACGTGTAGAATGTAGAATTAAAAAATTAACTTCTGTCAAAGTTGTTTCATTAAATTTGCAGTTAATCGCCTCATGCTTGAAATGCTTCGTGAGATATTTCCAGTTATTAGCTATCAATACCCTTGAAAGTGAAGTGAATGACTAACAGGGCATGTTGAGCGGTAATGTCGAACTGAGCATGTGCAATGCCTTTGTGGACGGCAGCAGAGGGCGCTGTTGAGTAACAGTGGCACTATAAATATACAGTAGTAATGTTCAATGATTTTGGACCTTCACACAACCAGCTCATTTGGAAGAATGAGGCCATTGTTAACTTATTGTAAAGAAGATTAAATAAACACTGAGGATATATAAGAAAAGGGGGTTGAAAATGGATAAGAAAATATTTAGGAAATGTGCAGGTGAATTAAATCGAACTTAATGCTGAAAATGTAACAACATTAATAGATCTAGTTTTTAATTGCATATTAAAGAGGTACAGATACGTGTCAGACTAACTGAACACAAGAAGCCAAACTTAAGAAAACTAACATCACAGATTCAAGTAAACAAATCACAACACTTGTAGTGTGACATGTAAATGAATAAGATATTGTTAATTAAAATGACCAGATAAGGAAATGAGTAAATAAGTAAAATGGGAAGACATGGTTACTACAGTTTGATAAATTATTATTGTGAATTTAGAAGCATCAGAGTGAAAATAATGATTTATGTTAATAAGATCCCAAAGCAACAGGTGTCATTCTGTGTGTCATTTGGTTTGAGGTCATTTTCTCCAACACTAACTGATATGATAACAGTCGTATGGGAGGTCCTGAATTATTACTTAACTGAATCTTGAGGCCCTGAGGGGTCCTATGTAAAAGTGTAGTTTTAAGACTGTTATTATTTTGTATCTATTTTATATTGTACCGAGATAGTGCGTATTCCAAAATAAATTGGGTTTTAATAAGTTAACCTCAAACTAAATGACACACAACTTGTACAATGTACAGACAGTGGGGGAACTCAGGGTCAGTAGGGGCTCAGCAGCTCATTTGTACCTTACAGTCTCCAACATGTTAATCCAGCCATGGAGGTTTGTCTAATATTCTGTCCACCCACATGTATGTAAATGGGGTGAATAAAACTGCAGGGTACCTGTATTGAATTGTATAACATGGTATTCGTATTGTTTGAAAAAAAGGGTGTGTTATGAAAACATACAACAAACAGCATAACTAACATGACTATTAATAGCAGTATTGATAGCTCTAGTAATATAAACATGATAATTATATTCATCAATGTATGTGGAGTTGTAGTTGCTAACATGGCCATTAGAGGGCAACAAACACTAATTATCAGTTTATTTGTGTATTGTATCAACAGTTGCACCTTTGATGGATGAATAACTACTGAAAACAACCACAGAAATGTTTATATGTACTCACAAAAGGGTTGTGAACATTGTGTTTTAGTCATTTTAATACAGCAAAGAGGAAAATACAAGAATACAAGAACAAAATAAACCATAGGAGGAGAAGTCTGGTGACATTATAATTTGTTAGTGGTGAGCAATAGAAATTCATCATACATCCTGTGACATCTTACATTATGACCCAAATGTTTTGGCAGAAAATGTCTAAAGTACAGATTATAGAACAGTGTAGTCTATGATATGTTGTCCCACCATCACTCTTTGTATAACCGTGTCCTGTGGTGGAAATTGGCAGTGCTGGCCCCGGGTCTGGCCCTTCGTTGGTGTGATGGGTAGCTGCTGATGGTCTCCAGATCCATGTAGGTCATAATAACTGAAACATAAATAAAAGTGATGATTATATAAATGACCTCAGCCACTTATCTGTTTATTTATTTACATATTATTGTCTTATTTAATTTAACTTTATTAATTTCTTCTCTATTTTTTCCTCTCCTTTACACATAAAAGGGAGGGAAAATGCAGGTATGTATGTATATGCATACCTGCTCATACCTCTGTTTCTGCCTCGTTTACTACTGTACATACTAACCAATACCCACCCAGTTTGAACTCATGTTATATTCTTGGTTTGCTTTTGTCATTTGTTTTACTTTGTATAGTAAGTCTTTTATAAGTCTTTTGGCTGTTTGTGTCCCTGTACTTTATTGCACAGTTAAGACAAAAAAGTAAATAACTGCTGTCTCATCTCCCTTTTTTTTTTTTTACTGAAAAACCAGCCAGTTAAATTGTGGGCTCTTTGTAATTGGTAGTTGTTCCTCATTCACTTTTGGCTGTGTCAGAAAATAGCCTATTTAAAGAATGTCAAGCAGTGTATAAATTACACCAAGATATTACTTGTCTTAAAGGTAAACACATTGAACACAGTGAACTTATGAGAGCCTGAGAGATGCAGGCTGCACAGTGTAGGAGCAGATAAGTAAGCTATCCAGCCAATAGACCCACTCTGAACTGCTGCTGCTTTGCATACTGAGTCTCTGTCCAACAGTCATTATACTTTACTAGATTATGAAAGCAACACAATACAGGATGACATATTAAACAGAATATCTCACCACCACATGGGATTCCTTCATTCGTAGTGGCGTGTCAAACCCCAGATGATGAGGAAATTACCTGGTTTCAAATTATTTTCATCCAGTCCAGCTGTGTGACGATGCATCTGGTTTGCACCTGCTGCGTCCTATCTTTCTCCCTGCTGATGGCGTCACCCCTAGTGAGTGCCACTGTGTCAGACAGCTTCAAAGTCTGCAGCCATTTTTTCTACATGCAGACACCACCTGCAGGGATGAGGGGAGCCAGCCCGAGGAAGATCTGCCAGACGTATGCAGACAAACTCCGCTACGCCACCTTGTATGACAGCAGTCGCCGCCTCCCCCTCTACTCAGCCTACATCTTTAAGAAGTCTGATGGGAAGAGGAGAATGGACACACCATGGATGTATGAGCCACAGGTTGGTTTATTTGTTACTTAGTGTCAAACCTGAAAGAAGCTGAATGTTTTTGGGCAACGATGCCAGTTTGTGTGACAGTAATAAGATTAGCTGTAGTATAATCAGGGGTGTAGTGGGGGGTAAATCCAAGAAAACTCAGTTTATCCACCTCTTTGAAATTAGTTTACTCATTTATTTCAGATCAACTGTACCAATCAATGAGGGGAAAGAAGGTAGTTTACCCACCTCTGTATTTACCACCCTGACTACAATTGTATTTCAGTCTAGTTGCTCTCGCAGCGAAGATCAGTCAGTGCTGTTATTAAAGCCAACAGCAATAAAACAAATAGTACAGTGACATCACCAGATAGGTTTGCAAAGGGACATTTTATTGCTTGGATTTGAGGTTACTGGCAGCCATTTTGGTAAACAAGACCATATGGAGCTCATGCCGAATAAACAAGCAGCAATCAACCCCTGATAGGTCGAGTCACCTGCCAATCACCTCAACATGCCCCCGCACACACTCTTCTTTAAAAGGAATAGTTTGATATTTTGGACAATAATATATATGGTAATTATAATACATTTCTTTCCCCTACAGTTGGTTTCTGATGACGAGAGTGGCAACATGAGAGCACTTCCCCTTACGGAAGACGCCCCCCCTCTGATCGAGGACAGCCAGGCTGTGCTGGAGGACTACACAGATGCTGTAGAATATAGACGTGGCCCACTGAATCCAGACTTGCACCAATCAGAGCCCGATGACAAATCCTCCACATATACCCTGACCAACGTAGTCCCATTAATCACAGACTTCCTGGACACTTCCTGGAACCCATACTTAGACATCGTCCGCCGTCGCCTCAACAACTTCTGCCACGGCAAATCTTTCATGGTGACAGGGGTGACCATTTCTGGGGCGGCCATCCAGCGAGATAACAGGGACCGCTTGGCAATCCCAAAACACGTGTGGCTGGCATACTGCTGCCCACGGTTTGACAATAACTCTCCATATGAGGTGAGGTTCATGTTCCCTAGTTATGGGGGCTATGCGCTGAATGACCAGACCGACCACAGTGTGGTGGAAGTCCCTCTGAAGACTCTCGAGAGCTTCCTGAAGAGCCAGACAGACATAGCCAGTGACCTGACTATTTTTCACAAGGGCTGTGTGTCAGAAAACACCATCAGGAAGAGGAGAGGCCTGACCAGTGTTTGAGTATGATGGGACATCTTGAACTGGTTATGCAGTCAGGGATGAAGCCTCTGATGAAATGCACCTGCTCTATAAACAGAACGAACTCAAGTAAACTTTAATAGAGGCTGTTTTAAGTATATTAAACATCCCATATTGTAGAAAGTAAGATTTCCTTTTTTTTTCTTTTATAAAGCAGGTCTAGGTGCCATACTGTATCAAAATGCTCAATCCACAGAGAAAAGCACACAGCCGTATTCAGAAACGAACAGTCAGAACTTCTGTAAGGTTGTAATGTCACGACTAGTCAGCATGCCCTCAGCATGGGTACAATCTGTTACCTGTAGTAGGCCTGGCATCACTTAGAAAACAGTCAGCCAATCAGAAAAGAGGCTCATTAACTTTAATATAAAACACAACACACCCTGTTCTGTCCCCAGACAGAAGCGTAAGATAGAAGATGTAAAACTACAGTATATTAAGATGGTTGTTGGTACTTAAAAGTACAAATATATCTTCTTATGGATGTCAAAACTTTAAATTGAACACAGGAAAAGTGTAAAATATAGGACCTTTAAGGAGGGAAAAAGCCAGTTCCTGACTAACATAGCCTTTAATTTTGCCTTAAATGGGCCAGGTTTAGGTTCAGATTAATGGTCTGTATGAGTGGATGGGCTAAAGCACAAACAACCAATTAGCTCCACTAAAGGAAATGAGGTCTAAAACTGGACAGTAAGTGTGCATCCTATGCCAATTTTGTATTACACTTGGGGGACTTAAAAAAAAACACTGGAGCAGAGCCTGAGATATCCTGACTTTCAGTTACATTTAGATACTCTAGATACATTTCCCATCATGCAACTCTAATTTATACTTGTATGTATAATTCAAAAAGAAGAAACTCCTCAATTAGCCTAAAACAGATTAGGCCTGGGTTATCTGGATTTCACAGTCCAGATGTTCAAACCAAATTCTGAAATACCTACCTCATTTTGGCTTTATGTAGCTGAATGCTTTTAATGCATATCTATCTATCCATCTATCCATCCATCCATCCATCGAAATTGTAAATAAAGGTCACTGATTACTGAGATCAATAGCACGAATGAAATACAATAAAATAAAAAACAAAGCTCATTTCTTTTAATGCATAATGTAATGTATGATTCATAATGCACTGTGTATGGAGTCTCCAATAAATTTCATCTCATGGTCTTTCATCCCCTATTTTATAGTTATATCATTCTGTATCACCATCCAAGTAACCTGTAAATTATTATATAATTAGAAAACGATGGTTTGCAATTTAATTACATTTCACCAGATTTCCTTGTATTTATGTTGCCAGTTGTGCTTCTTGAAGAGAATGTTCACAGTCTTCAAGGACATATAAGAATGCAACCTCCCTGGTTTCTGGAATTGACCATTATTGTATAATGTTCCCTGTTTCCAATGTCTCATATCCAATAAAATCTCATTTGTGAGCAGATTCTTTATTTTCATTTACTTTCAAAACATTACTTTTGTGTTTTTGTAATATTTGAGAATGAACAAAAATCCTTAATATTCTCCTTTAAAATCCTCTTAAGTAAATTCAAATATAGTAATGTTTTCCCACATTGTTCATGATGATATCATTATATTCTGTATCTCGTTATTCCAGTGTTTCATTGAAGCTAACACATTTATAATGAGCGCAATATTTAAATTCAAGATACTGGTATTTTATTTAAAAATTGTCTAGTCCACAACTTGTTCACTGTGATATCCATGGTAATCTTTAAAAAACATCTGACCTTGACCAGAATTGTACATAAAATGTTGTGTATTGGAGGAGTTCTTGACTGCAGGGGTGTGTGGGTTTGAATAGAAGAGGTAACACACTGATGTCTTTGGCTATTAGCTATCAGCAGTAGCTGTTGCTCTAGCTGTGGGTGGCCCTGCTGAGGTGTGCATTGTTTTGCATATTGAGTCCTGATTACAGACAGCAGTGTGAAAGTGTGAAAGCTGTGTCAACTGTGTTACTGAGCTCCAGGGTCAGATATAGAGACACATTCAATCATTTGTAGCAGCTCACAGAAACACATTTAAATTTGACAGCTTCATCCTCTCACCAGAGCAACATCGAAGCCCACCTGACTATGGCATTTTGGGCGTGGACGGCTTTCCTGCTTGTCAACATAATAACATCAGCGGTAAGAGGGAGAGTGGAGAAAGAGCTGTCTCCAGAGTGCAGAGAATTCCTCTATATGGGAACAACTCCGACTGGGCTGGAGCACCACTCCCTCCAGTTCATTTGTCAGCGTTACAACAAAAAGCCTCGCTATGTGACTCTGTACAACACCGTGGACCATATACCCGTCTACTCTGCCTACACTTTCAAACGCTCAGATGGGGAGAAATGCGTGGATGTCCCGTGGATGTATGAACCACAGGTAAAGAAAAAAAACAATGGTTGAACATGCTAAGAAAGTATTTTAACATGATCAGAATGCTATAATTGTTCTGTATGTCAGTATTCTTGTGCAAAATCTTCAATTCATGCATTAGTTGTGTAATCACACTCTACCACCCTATCCTCATCCTCTCATTTGCAATGGGTCTGTCTGCCTACGCAGCTCTCCACCACCTCTGATACAGATGAGATGCAACCTTTCCCACGTGGTTACATGCATATGAATTTTGAAGATGCCCAAGCTGTTCTGGATGATTATACGAACGCTGTCCTTTACGAGCGGGGTACCCTCAACCCAGACGAGCATCAGGACGAACCGGATGACAAGGCTTCCACCTACACCCTCACTAATGTTGTGCCCATGGCGCCCGACTTCAACAATAGAGTCTGGAACAAACAGGAGCACATCGTTCGCAAACGGCTTAACAACTACTGTCATGGAACAGCTTACATCGTCACGGGTATCACCACCTCGGGGAAGATGATCCGCCGGGAAAACATGAACCGCATTGCAGTGCCCACATACTTGTGGTCCGCTTATTGCTGTGTTGACTACGACCACAATGCCCCTTACAATGAGCGCTATAAGTTCCCGTCTTTTGCTCATTATGGCCTCAATGAGGACGCGAACAACGAGGTGGTGGAAATCTCCGTCCAGAAGCTGAAGGAGTTCCTCAAGAAGACAACCTTTGTAGATCAGAACTTTCAGATCTTTGTAGGCGACTGTATCCCACCAGCGTCCATTACTTCCAAATAGGCAAATATTTAGCTATAAAGCAGCTGTTCTTCTTCAATAGGCCTTTTTCACAGCACACATTTTGACTTGTCACAGGTAGAAAAGCACAACATTAACAATGGCTCCGTTCAAGTGTCTCAGTAAGCCATGACAATGCAATAGTGAGTCAGCATACACAATACCAGGTCCCTGAAGCAGCTCAACGGATTTCAGCCATGATTCATATTGTTTACACCTGTACTTTTCCTGCTGTGAAATGTCAAAATGTTTTCTGTGATAAAACACTATCGCCTATTGGAGGAGCTTAATCAAGTCATACAAAACATTTGTATCAACACTAAATACACACTGTCAAGTTATTTTGAACACTGTACAGAAATGTATTCACTGCTGAAAAGTTCCACTGCTTTGTCCAATTTGCAGTAATAAACCTTTGCAAACTGTAATTAAACTGTCTTTGGAACTTTATTTGACACGTAAGCATATCATGTAAGCATTACTTACTATCATTCACAAAAAATTAAAACTATTGTAAAATGAACACTTTAAGACCTCTTCTGGTATTGAATTCATACTCCTCATCTCATACTTTTATCTTTTTCCTACTGGCCTAAATGAACCACCACATACTGTATTACAGAAACAGCATTATAATTTATCTCTAAAATTAACAAAGCCTTTCATGGGCTCATACTTGGTGAAGAGAACAGACTTAGAGGGTTGAGGATACTCTGCAGAGATTCTATAGCTTTGTTTTCCCCTCCAAAGCCACAGCTGAAACAGATGGCTGCTTTACATTTGTGTAAACAAACTGCAGTGTAAATAACAGATCCCATCTCTTTCTCCTGTATGATGCATGGATTCACATTGCAATCCCTTCGGTTCCTCTGACGTTTCTTTCATTCTCACTCTTACTCTATAACCCTCCGTCTCAACACAAAACCAAATGTAAAACAAAGCTATTTGTGCACAACTTGAAGGTATGTTCTCATTATTCATAAGAAAGTATAAAGTCAGCATCATTTTTCCCTCTGCAGCTCACAGTAATAAAATGCTCTCGATGGTTGATAACATTCACTGCTTTTAAATTACTGCTACAACCCTTGTGGCACTTTGAATATATGAAAAATACTTCACAATGGAAGACCAGTTTGCTCAGTACAGATGAGGCAAGAAGGAAAGTGTTGAGTGTGATATAGCTGGGAAAGAGGCTGTACTTGTTAGACATAGTGGATTTGCCGTGGTGAGAGAGACATACGAGCAGACCTAGAGAGGTCTATGAGGACATAAGCATTTTAAGATTGAGGGAAAGAGACCTTTCGTGATGATACCTACAACAGAAAACTGTGCCTTACCTCTGGTGGCTGCTGTGACCGTGCTGACCTGTGTGCTGCTGCAGGGGGCCCAGGCAGGAGTGGTGGGGGACTTCAACCATGCAGAGCGCTGTAAGGACTCTCTGTACATGGGCACTCCACCCCGAGGCTACCTCAGCAACTCCTTAAAGAAGATCTGCCAGAGGTATGAGGATAAACCCCGTTATGTCACCCTATATGACCCCTACAAACACATCCCCATCTATTCCGCCTATACGTTCAAGAAGTCAGATGGGGAGAAGAAGGTGGACTTCCCTTGGATGTTTGAGCCCCAGGTGAGTTTGCTTTCAAGCTTAATCAAAGTGAAGCTTAGATAGTGTGTTTTCAGTCTGAATTTCCGGTAGGTGTGCTTTCTCTGTGCATGTAAATACAGTATACTATGTATCTATTTATATTTTACTTTAAAAACATACATGTACATTATGTGTTACATTTATCAAGGTTTTCATTAATAAATACTCACATTTTTCATATATCCATACCCATCGAGCAGTTTAGAGAGCTGGGGCAACTTTATTACTGCGGCTACGGGCAACACAGTAAGCTTGAGATAAGCTACTTTATTGGCTCTATTTCAATGAGATACTGTTGCCATGACCATTTATGCTCTAGTACATAGTTATGCAAACTTGAAATTTGAAATGTTTTTTGTGAATGTGGATGAATGCCAAAAAACTTGGAATGATTTCTGAATAAAATGTACAGCAATATTGCGCTTCTCCATCTCTCTCCCTATATAGTTGGCGTCAGAAAAGAGTAGCAGTAACATGGAGCCTTTCCCCCAATCTACGAGCATGCATATGAACTTTGAGGACACCCAGGCAGTCCTGGAGGACTATGCTGATGTGGTTCAGTACGAACGTGGCCAGCTAAATCCTGACGAGCATCAGGCTGACCCTCTGGACAAAGCCTCCACCTACAGCCTGACAAATGTGGTACCCCAGATCAGGGAGTTTAACTTGGGTCCCTGGGCGGAACACCAGGACCTCATCCGCAAACGTCTCAACAACTACTGCCGTGGCAAAGCGTTTGTGGTCACCGGGGTCACCACCTCTGGGCACACCATCCGTCGCAACAACCTGGATCGGGTGGCTGTCCCCGAGTACATGTGGTCGGCCTACTGCTGCACCGAGTTTGACCAAAATGCACCATACTTTGTGCGCTACAAGTTCCCTGTGTTCGCAGCTTATGGGCTGAATGATCGTGTCAACAACCACATGGTGGAAGTTCCTCTTAAGAACCTGGAGAAATTTCTCAAGGGGAGGATGGATGTGGACAAGAACTTTCAGATTTTCTATAATGACTGTGTGCCGGATAACTGAGATAAAGTGGGTGTGATGTCAGTTATCATTCAGGTGTGTTGCTGCTGCAGAAAGGTTGCTGCTCAAAACACACATGTAACTGAGATGTGCTGGCAAATTAGAATATATATTGTAAGCAATAAAATTGGGAACTGATTGGAGTCTGTCTCATTATGTCCAACTGTACATTTAATGATTTTCTTCATTATCATTTACGCTGCATATTAGTTAATGCAAATAAAAGAAATAGTGAAAACACAATATGTCAGAAACTAAAATTGGCAGATTGCTTGTTCTGTCACACCAATTGTTGTAAATAATAAACATATTCAGTTTACAGCAAAACAGAAAAAAAGACGCAAATCTGTGTATTTGAGAAACCAAAGCCAACATTTTTTGTTGAAAATTGTCATAAATGCAATAAAACCCAGTATTCATTGATAGTTAACCAGTGTTATAATATTCACAATATTGATCATGTATAATGCTACTACTACTCTCACTAAAGCTAATGTGCCATTTAAATCCCATTTAAGAATATTTGATCAATGAGCTTTTGAAGCCTGGAATGAAACCATAGTAGGAAAAAGTTGGGTTTGACCAGGAAATTAATGTAGAAATTGATCAAGTTGTTACTACTTGTTACAAGTTGCTCTTCAAATGTGTTGTAATTACTGATTTCATCCACAAGATGGCACTACATCTCATTTTAAATTATAAATGCAGACAACGACCCGAACACTTTACATTGCATCTATATGAGAAAATATCACATTTTTATGCAGTTCATCTCACAAACAACAATATGTCTGACAACACAAATATGTCTACCAGTAGTTTATGTTGCTTTTTTGGCCGTCTGAGGCATACACACATTATAAAATGAAGACTGATCCAGAGATGAGACTCTTCTCCACGCCACCCACCCGTGCCTCTGCAGCTCAGTGTGCTCCAGCTGACATCCATAGTAATGAGGGTCAACAACTAGCAAGTAGCTCCCCTTGTCCCCAGTGCAGACTCCTAATACCCCCTTAGAAGAGTTGTCCCTGTCCCCTCCCATCATGACTGGAGATCCATGCTTCTCAAAGTGCTGATGGAGCTCTTCCACTGCCACACGCTCCAGCTCTGCCCCTCCACCTCTAACATGTACCAACTTACAGGGAACATCATAGAAATAGTCAAGGACCAGGGAGGCTTCACATGTCCCTATCCACTCCCTGGAGCCTGAGAACGAGCCTGGTTTGTCCCCCATGGTGACCAAGGCTTGTTGGATTTCTGGGAGGCTCGGTGGTGGTCTGTGTTTGCCCGACGGTGGAGAGCAGTTCTGACACAGCCAGGAAGCCATTGTCTGAACGGTGCGGTAGCCGCATCCCCAGCCTCTGTCCTCCTGTCCATCACAGCCATAATGGAAGTAGAGGTAGTCTCCTTTGATCAGAGAACATTTAACAGGATCTGTAAGTGGATTAAGGAGACCGGTGTGGACATTCTTTGATAAGGGTTTGGTCTCCCTCATTATCTCCCCCTCTTCAGCTCCACTTCCTCCCCAGTCAATCTCCTCGGACTCTGCTGCTATCACCCTTTTATCCATTTTTACAACTTGTCTCTACCGAGCACACATTTCACATTTCACCTGAAGCATTTGGGCTAAATGTTGCCAGCTGTTCTGGATAATTCATCCCAAAGTTGTCGGTTGCAACTGCAATAACTGTCCCCTCGGTGCAATTGCAAAGATACTCCAGTTCCGCCTTAACATTCGTTCCCACGGGCTTTTTTGTCAGCTTCGTTCAAGCTTGCCAATATAAGTAGAATAACTGACCACTGAGCTTTTGAAACATAACTTGGTTTTAAACTTAGTTTATTTTGGAACATCATAGGAATCTTTTATATGTCTTTAGAAAAAGTCTAAATTCGTGTTAGCAGTTTAATTGTGGAAACAAAGTGGAATAATGCTGCAGTAATGAGGAGCAGATTTGGCTTTAATTAATAGCTGTCGACATTTGTAGCATACTTTAAATTAAATCATAATGAAATATGTTATATTGAGGAGTTTTACTTACAAAGCAGTCTCTGAAGAAAGCATGCGCTATCCAGTGCACGCGAGCGACACACGTCTCAACACACCTGGCTGTAATTTATTTCACGTTAATTAATAATTCGCTAGCTTGTTTTTTCTTCCAAAAAATGGCGACCAATTTAAACTATATACGAGTCGTCTCCTCGTTATTGGTTTTGTTGTCTGTGCGCGGCTTTTCTTTCGCTGAAAAAAGTCTCGGACTTGAAATAAAATGCGGAGAAGTCCGCGTGAGAATCACCGTAAAGCGACAGTTTTTCGAGGAGAACCGTATTCCGTTCCGACCGGAATATCTTCGACTTGGACCAAACTCAACACAGCAGAGGTCATGCGGACCAGAGACACCAATGTCTCAATCTGAAATGGTCCTCTCTGCAGGACTACAAGAATGTGGGTCTGAGTCCAGAGTAAGAGAAATAAATCTGATGTAACAATGCATGCAGTCTTGCATTGCACCACAAATTATATACATAGGCTACATACATATTTTGTATGCTACTGGATACTTGAATTTCCCTCGGGCACTCACCAACTCAACAGCTATCCGTAGTACTCTGATCTACTTATCTCCATCTATCTAGACTCTATCTATCTATCTATCTAAATAACTACATTATTAGACTATCCACTTGTAACTTATAGTGTACTATCCTCCAAACATTTTTGCAACCATAGTACCAAAAAATACAACCTGAGTCTTTTTTTCTTTCATGGTTTAATTCATTTCTTTATAATTGTTACTATCCAGGTTCATGGTGAGTGGCTTGTGTATTCCAACCGGCTGGTACTGTTTCCGGCTGCAGTTCCCACCTCTGCAGGCAGTGTGATAGTTAGAGGGGCAACTACTGTCATACCTGTTGAGTGCCATTATAAGAGGTAAGGCAGATGCCATGTTATTTTAGGAATCTTCATGTGTGTAGCTACAGAGAATCCCTTTTCCATGGCTGAGGTTTCTTATACTGTATAATATTTTATCGTAACAAAGTAAAAGGTTGCAGTTAGCTGTCATTAACTCTTTGTAATTGTATAACCTGTGCCTTATTTTTGTGTGAGCACAGGAAGCAGACAGTGAATGGAGAACCATTAACCCCAACCTGGTTACCCATGACATCCACTGTTGGTGTCATTGGCCTTCTGCACTTCTCCCTCCGTACCATGACAGGTGAAACCCCTGTCTCAATGAACCGAGGCTGTATCAGTGGAAGAGTGCTCTCACAACAGTAATATTGTTTTCTATCTGGAATCCAAATGAAACTGGGATTGAAAACAATGTCTGTTCTCATGCAGATGGCTGTACGTCTCTACGTAGTTCCTCAGTGTATCAGCAGGGGGAAGCAGTGTTTTTGGAGGCCAGTGTGGAGGCCCCTCTGCACCCTCCTCTTACTCTATATGTCGACTACTGTGTGGCTACCCTGAAGCCCGATCCTCTCTCCTTGCCAAGCTACAGGTTTATCACTAAACATGGGTAAATCATTCTGTCTATAAATAACTAACTTTCTATAATAATATTTCAACAACAACTAGGTTGATGCCATTCATGGAATACTTGATGACACTTACAGGTGTCTTTTGGACAGTGTAGTGCCAGGGTCTTCATCTAAATTCCTCCCCAGGGAGCGAGATAGCAGATTATGCTTCAGTGTGCAAGCCTTCCACTTCAACCAGGAGTCCTCTGAACAGGTAAGGACACCTCATTGGACAGTAACCAGTTCATTACATTCTGAATGATAATATTATCATTGGAGTCATCATTTTAGCTCAAAGGGGACTATTTGTGTAATTTATTGTATCTGCAGTTCTTGACTAGCATTTACTATATGCATGTTTAATTGATTGAGGTCTAAATATATTTCTAATATTGTTGAAATGAATCCTGGATCAAATGTACTTTATTCTTTTGTTTTTCTTTTTCTAGATGTTCATCAGCTGCCACCTTAGGGCCACTCTGAAACAGAGTTCACATAGCCACCTTAATAAAGCCTGCTTCTTCCACAGGCCCACATTCAGGTTAGGCTGCCAAACTGTTGGTGAACTTCAGTTGTTAAATCCTGATTTGGTCTGACATGTGATACATGTTTGAGCCTATAACATCCACTAATGAAGTGTATTTTATTAGCTGGGGCATCACAGCTGAGGTGTATTACCAGGATGTTTCTCTGTCATTCAGCTGGCATGCCACAGAGGGAGACACTGCTCTGTGCGAGTGCTGTGACTCAGATGACTGCCATACACAGACTGAAGAGGAGACCAGTGACCACACAGGACACACACATCAACCAGATGCAGGTGGCTCAGCCCTATAAAAACAAATGCAATCTACACACTTTTAGAGGTTATTTTTTTACCAGTTAACAATCATCGTATCATAGTATGGCCATAGCAACTTGTGTATTTGATGTATACACACTGTAGCCTGTGTAGTTACATGTTATGCATACAATTACTAAGCCAGTTGTTTATGTATTTTTGACAGAAAAGAAGCATGAGGCGGACACAACCGTTGGGCCACTTCACACGCTGCCACGCTCCCATTGGACAGGCCGTCTGTCAGTCAATTACTAAAGAGCCTTTGTCTTTACAGTTAGGTGGTTACAGGGACTGTCGAGACCAAAACCAGTTGTTTGACAATAAAGCATTCATCACATGTTGTTTTCTCTCATGACTCATCATTAAAGTTGAAATTTGAATTGTAAAAATATATAGTTAAAAACCATGGATAGCCATGAACGCTGTAGCAATGGCTACTGGCTACTTATTTATACTTTGAGGCACCTATAAAACCAGTTTAAAGCTCCCACCTGTCAGACATTTATTTTTCTCTGTGGCAATATGTGTTCTTCATCTCAGACTGTGTCAGTTAAATGATACTACCTAAATATGTTTCTGTAAATGTTTGTAATTACAACTACAATAACACGCTGCAAACTGTCTGAACTCTCTCTGTAGTATAACACTTCCATGCTGTGTGCCAGTATAGTGAGTCAGTGCTGTTCCTGTTTTGACTGAGGATGCTCCTAAACCAGAACGGGTCGGTCAGTCGGTCATGCATACTTGTAGGAAGTTGTACTTTAGCTGCAGGAGAAACAAACAAAACAACACAGGCCACTTCTCTCAGTGATGGTTTCATTTTAGTACATTTTACTATAAAAAATAATTAGTGAATGATATGTTGAAGGTACTATAACAGTGATGTATTAAAGCTATTTCTCTTTAGTTATCTAAATTACTTTGATATGAGGACAGAAATCCTGTTTATAAATGTGTGTCTGGTCTGAGGCAGACTAGGTAGTTTCATCATGACTGAAGAATGGGTGGTTTTTCATTCAGCCATGAAAACTAATAGCCATGAAAACAAACCCATGAGGAATTTCCACAAAGACGTCGAAGAACTACAATGGGACCTAAAATATCTCGGGGGTAACAAGCACACTAGAATAAACAGACATTGGAGTAAGAATGGGACAGCTATGCAGCCATGCACTGTATGTGCTTTACATCCCCTGTCTGCAGTAGAAACACTTGTCCAGTCCCATCAGAGGAAACGTGACAGACCAAATAGAAAACCTGGTAAATTTCAGGATTATAGTGCTTCATGATCTGTAATTGATTAATGTAATTAGCAATTCCTTTTTTAAAGAGGATCTTTTCTGGACTTTTCTGGCATTCTCTCAGCCAAAGTAATTTTCTTAAATTGATCCACAGATCAGCTAAGAACAATGTGTTTCTCTTGTAGAGCAGGGATTCTGTGTATGGAATAGTTGAAACTGAGCAATTACATTAACTTCTGTGCTTTTAGGTTTGTTGGAAAATCTGGCAACATTGCGGTTTGACCAGCTGTGAAAATGAAGATCTGTGTTGGAATAGTCTGGTTCTGTTGTTATGTAGTATCAGTGTTAGCTGAAATATCTGATTTAGCACAAGAATGAGTGTTTCACTAAGACATCTGTGGCTTCTTATTTGATTGTTTTAGATACATTGTGTGCATCCAGTTTGAGTTATCGGTCATAATGTGGCAAGAATGTCACATGGCTTTTCAAGCAGATAAAACCAATTTTAGTTTCAGCCACTGAGATTCAGTAGTATAGTATTGTGGCAGCTGTGCCTCCCATGAGTGACCAATTGGAATGTTTATTAATGAACAATTTCTTAATCATATTTAAGGCATTGGTAAAGTTGACCTCCTCCCTCACCCCTTGTATCAGTTGCACTAGTTAAATGGTTTGTGCGTTTCTCTGTTGTTATATCAAATGTTCTGACTACTGTGTTACACTGTGTGCATTACCCGTGTGTGATGCAAGTGTTGGTCTTGGCATGGCCAATCAGGCAAGTTGGCGTCTCATCTCGGAAACGTTCCAACGGTCCTCCTAGATTGTTGAGGTCCACTATTACGAACTAACTAACTAGCCTCAGCTGCACTACTATCCCCACATAAACTATCCCAGTGTGCAGGAGAGATCTTGCCCTGATAATGCCACAGGAATGAAATCACCAAACATACAATCTCAACATCACTGAGCTGGATACTATTCAGATTTTGACTGCGCTGTGATATCCCATTCATGTGTATTGACTTTAGCACCCGCCATTGAGAAGATTAGTACTTACTGTTTAGGAAGCAAACACAGTTTTAAACTTTAACTACATACATGGGGGTCAAATGGCTTGCAAACACTAGTGCAGTAATCCAGATTAACCCTGGAGTTTGTTCATTGCCATTTTGGCCATTATTTAGTGTCTGAAAAAAGGAAACCCTGTCTCGTTTTATACTATTCATTTTCAACAGCAAATGTTTTGGAGGAAACATGGATTACATTTTTATCAACATAATGAGGGATTAACATATCTGGCAAAATGTTGTTTTCCTGACAACATCCGGTCATGCAATGCAATATCTGCAAAGGGACCTGGCATTTGCCGCCTATGAAATCTCTTTCCAGGCAGTGTAAGACCACACCTTGACTCATGTGACTCTAAAGCCTCTCACATGACAGCCAGGTAAATGCACCTGGCTCCAACATTTAGCTTTGCCATTGCTGGGGTCAGTCCCCTCTCAAGTATTTGCTTGGCTGCACCAGCCGTGGTCTGCCATGTTCCTAGTCTGGACAAAAGTTCCAATGATTTTGTTGAGCAATTGTCTGAGATTTGGTAACCATGCTCATACAAGGAGCGCAGGAATAATACTGAATGTAGACCTGTACAGGACGCATTAGGGTTTCTATTTGTGTGGTTGTCATTAAAGGAAAAACACTGAATTGATAACATGAGCAAAATGAAGAGCAACATAACAAGATAACATACCTAATGAGAAGTAAGTTCCTTCACGGTGCAGCCAGGCAGTTGTGTGAAGCTGATGGAGTAAGAGAAAAAAAACAAGGTTGGTTAGATAAGATAAGCAAATTACAGTTTAGTTGGATGCCAAACAAAACATGGGTTTAGTCCAAACAGTGAGGTTGCATTGGAATACACAGTATTTATTTTTTCTTTTGGTGTAAATGGAGAAGGGTAAACAAAGACAAGGCGCCATGGAGATGTTGAGCCTAGAATAATGCTTTAGTGTTTTCACTCCACCACCTATGGCTTTACATTTTGAAACCACTCATATACTAGAGTAATCAGCTTATCACTTAATGTTAGACAATTGTCCCATTGTCTGTAAGGCTTCTGTTGCCAATAAATTGTAATCTTTGAACATTGTTGAACATGAACCCAATGAGACAAATAAAGAGAGAAATAAAATCAATGTGTGCACAAATGTAAGGAGACAGTCCTTGTAATACATATTTATACCCACGTGGCTGAGGTGGAATATATAAACTGCAGTTTTGAGGAGTACAAGGAGTACAGGGAGTACAGTCATGGCCAGCAACTCAGGGAAATAGCAGACAGGACAGCCAAAAGAAGGGGGGAGGGGGTGTGCTGTGGAAAAGACAAGTGATGAGAGGCCCATTGGATAAGAGAAGGTGTGAGGCCAGGGGCAGCTAGGCCAGAAAAAAATACCACACAAGGCAGCTTGGCAACAGGGAGAATACCAGATACAAGAAAAAAAGACTCATGATACAGCCAGAGAATTGCTCACAGGGCAGTAGGAGAACGAGGATAGACCCAGACATAGGGGACATATTGTTGGATGGCAAAGGTGAAAGGGGGGTGGGGGGGTTGGTGTGGTGTGGTCAGCGAAATGATATGATGTTGGTGTCAGAGGGTTAAAATGTACACTCTTTAAGGTAGTTAAGGTTCAGTCCTTTTCAAGAGCAGTGGTTTGTAAATGAGCTAGAAATTCAAAGGATGCTGAGGGATGGGATGAGTGCTGTGAAGTTAGAATTCAGAGATAAGCTGTCAAGCAGTGGTTTTCAATTACTACTATTTAACTATTAATTATCTCATTGCCATGAGAGTTTGTAAATACATTCATGGTCTTGTGACGATGAAACCAGACCTTTTCTCCAGTGCTGCCAGCAGATTGACGTTTGTTTATTTTGTCTAGACAGCTATTAGATGAATTGCAATGGACTTTTGTCTTCTGGGAACTGGGACAGAACCTAGTTTTTTTTAGTGTTGTGTTGTTGACCAGTCCACTTTAGTATTTAGGGGGTTAAATGCTTTACCCATTGGCAAAATGTCATTTTTTGGGGGAGGGAAAACTCCAGAGATGAAGTTCCTGTCCTGGAATGCTCTCCACACTTGTGGCCACCACCATGGGATCATAGTAAGTTCAATAAAGTGATAAGATTCTTGTCACTGTGGATGCCTGTAAGCTGAAACAATAACTTCCGACCTTGTCAGTGTCTACTGTCTTGGCTCCTGCCTTGGCTCCTGCGTCCCTCACAGTCAGTCCCCCCATTCTTTTATGTCAGCTTCCTGTCTTGTGTCGCGCCAGAGGAGTAGACCTTGCTGGCTCCGAGCCAAAACCTGGATAAAAAAACTGAAACACAAAAACACGCACACACTCCAACGTAACAGCTGTGCACTTCCTTCTATATAACACAATAAAGCGTAAAGCTGTTAGGTTGTTTGCATCACTCCTGGCTGTCTTTTTTGTAACCTATTAGCGTTAACAAGCGCCAGTGAGGCACAGGGAGGGAGATCATTTGGGTTCATCCCCAACTTTACATCACCCCTCCTCTTTTAAATCATCCTAAATTCAATAACTGTGTCCCATTCCAACCAAGGAGTCACTGTGACTGGACCCCCCTGCCCCCGCACTCCTCACACATCCCTCACCTCCCACCCCAATCCCCTGCCCTGGTCACGAAGCATGGCTCGCAGCACGTACCTTGTCTCCCTCTCCTCTATCTCTCTCATGTTGGCTCAGACATAAGCAAACAGCCCTTTGAGCAAACAGTACAACAATCTGTCAACATTGTCTCCAGCACGGTGACCATGTAGTATTAAAGATGAATCATAACAGAGAGAGTATATATATATATATGTAAATATCTAGAAGATTACCCTGACTTATGAATAGAATATGTAAACACCTGAAAGATATTGGGCAACTTAGGGCGTCACATTTTTGGCATCATAATTTTGAGAAAGGAAACAAGGTTAAAACCTTCAACTGTGGCTCTTGGTTACAAGGTAATAATTACATGGATCAATTAATGAATCATTTATGGTTGATATTGACACCAGACACAATATAATATTGTTCTACTTATTTCTGCAATTCAAATATTTCCAATAACTTTCTATATTGTACCCTCTAACCATTATATTTGTCTGCACTTATGTACACACGCGTGCGTGCGTGTGTGTGTGTGTACATGCACCTTACATAGACTTATGAAATAGTAAGCATGCAATCGAGTGAGCTTGATAACTTATCAGTGTTTCCAAGTATTTGTGAGTGAAGCTATGTGTGTCACTTGACATTGCATGTTGCCAGCAATGCATATGCAAACATACTTTTACTTCCTGTCTGATGGGAAAGCCTCCTGGAGCCCCTGCACCCCTGTCCCCTTTATGTGTCATAGAGGGGACTTCCAGGAAATTTCAATATATTTCCTTTAGTCTGGCTCCAAAGGGGCTGTAAAGGGTCAGGCTGAGGACATGGGACATA